GGAGCCCAAGAGGCCCCATGGAACTAGGCCTGATCCCTGAGCTCTAGGTTGGTGGTCCAGACAGAAGGGAATGGGGGAAATAAGCCCCGAGGAGGGCTCAAAGCTTAGCATTAGTATCCTTTGAACATTCTTGATGAGTTCCAAGCAGACAGAATGGCAAAAGCAAAGGCTCAGGAGCAGAAAATCTCAGGGTACTTAGAAGAGTGAGGTATTAATGTGGCCAGAGCCCAGGGTCCAAGGGGACTAGACCAAAGATGAGCTAAGCCATGGCAGTGACGAAGCAAAGGGGTCCTTTAAGGCTATCCAGTGAATGAATTTGGATCTTGTTCTCTAATCTAGCCATGGGATAAGACTAAAGGAGCAGAATGATAGATCTGGATGTGGCCACATACTTGGAGGCTCAATGTTCATTCATTCACTCATTAAATAGTTATTGAGCACCTACTATGTTCAAGATCCTTAGGTTACATCAGTGAACAAAGCAAAAATTCCTGCTCATTTGGAGCATCATTCTCATCAGGAGATAGACAATAAACAACACCAAAGAAGTAAATTATATTTAAAAAGGCAAATAAGAAAAATAGGGGCAGGAGGAGACAGGATAAGGAAAATCAGAAGTGCTTGACTGCAATTTTATTTTTATTAAAAAAATTTTTTTTGTTCTTTATTGATATTTTTTAGAGAGGCAGGGATAGAAACATCAATGAGAGAGAACATCCATTGGCCATCTCCTGCATGCCCCCAACTGGGGATTGGGCCCACAACCTAGGCATGTGCCCTGACCAGGAATCGAACTGGTAACCTTATGGTGCATGGGTCAACACTCAACCACTGAGTCACACCAGCCAGACTTGACTGCAACTTTAAACAAAGTGGTTAGAGTAGGCCTCACTGAAGTGACATTTGTGCAAGTGACATTTTGATTTAAAGGAGGGAGGGAGATAGGCATGGTATATGGCAAAAGAACATTTTAAACAAAAGGAACATCTGATGGCTTGGTCTGGAGGAGATCAGTAAGGAGACTGTTGCAAGATGGGGGCACAAATCTACAGAGGTTGTGAGAATGGAGACACCTAGGAAGCACGGTGTCTGCTTGGATATGGGAGATGTATAACTCCTCCAGTCATGTTGTGTTCTTTTTTTTTTTATCCTCACCGGAGGACATTTTTTCTATTTTTTGTTCAGATAGAGTATGGGAGGGAGAGAGAGAGAGAGAAAAACATCAACGTGAAAGGGACACATCGAGTGGTTGCCACCCACACGACCCAACCAGGTCCGGGGACAAACTGCAACCGAGGTACGTGCCCTTAGCGGGAACCGAACCCGGGTCTCTCAGGACCGAGGGCCGACGCTCTAACCGCTGGGCCAAACCGGCCAGGGCTCATGTTGTGTTCTTAAGTCTGTATTATACATGCCACCTCTAGACTGATAGTAAAAATGCTCAGCACATTCCATCCTGGATGACTCCATCACCCACCTAGATGCTCCCCCAACCCCCCAACACACACACCACCCTCTTAATTCCTCAAATTTATCTTCAGTTACTTTTTCTCCAGGCCACCGGGCTATCCACTCTCACAAACAAATCCTATCAGCTCCTAAAACTCTCAAAGCCACTGACTCTTCCATCTCATCCTTTAGTTACTGGGCTGAATTGTATCCCTCCAAAAAAGATCCCTTCAAGTCCTAACCTCTAGTACTTCAAAATGTTACTTTATTTGTAAACAGGATCTTTACAGAGGTAATCAAATTAAAATGAAGTCATTAGGGTGGACCCAATTCAACCCATGACTTGATCTTTTTTTTTTTTGGTATGTGCCCCTGGCGGGAACCAAACCTGGGACTCTCTGGTCCTCAGGCCGATGATCCAACCACTGAGCCAAACCGGCCAGGGCATATATCCTTTTTATTTTTATTTTATTATTTTATTTTTTTATTTTTTTGTATCCTCACCCGAGGACATTTTCCCATTTTTTTGTTCAGGTAGAGTGGGAGGGAGAGAGAGGAACAGAGAGAGAGAGAAACATCGATGTGAAAGGAACACATCGAGTGGCTGCCACCCGCACGACCAACCAGGGCCGGGGACAAACTGCAACCGAGGTACGTGCCCTTAGCGGGAACCGAACCCGGGTCTCTCAGGACCGCAGGCGACGCTCTAACCGCTGAGCCAAACCGGCCAGGGCGCATATATCCTTTTTAAAAAAGAGAAATTAGGACACAGAATCAGACACACACAAAGGGAAGATGATGTGAAGATGGGTGACTGGACTGATGCTTCTAAAAGCCAAGAAGGCCAAAGACTGCCGACAAACCAGAAGCTAGGATGAATCAAGGACAGATTCCCTTAAAGATTTCAGGGGAGCCCTGGCCAGTTTGGTTCAGCTGTTAGAGCGTCAGCCTGCCGTCCAGAGAGACCTGGGTTTGGTTCCCGCTAAGGGCATGTACCTCAGTTGCAGTTTGTCCCCTGCCCTGGTTGGGTCGTGTGGGTGGCAACCACTTAATATGTCCCTTTCACATCGATGTTTCTCTCTCTCGCTCCCTCCCACTCTATCTGAACAAAATATTGAAATAAAAATGTCCTCAGGTGAGAAAAAAAAAATGTTAAAAAAAAAAAAGATTTCAGGGAAAATGGCCCTGCTGACACCTTGATTTCAGACTTCTAGTCTCCAAAACTGTGAGACAGTACATTTCTGTTGTTCTAAGCCACCCAGTTTGTGGTACTTAGTTATGGCAGCCCTAGAAACTGACATAGCTACAATGCCTTCTCCAAGTTCTCCTAACTACTCCATCTGACCCCAGACATTTTCATGGGGGTCTCCAGGCCATGACTCCTGTCCCTTTCTATCTTCACTTCTTTCCAGACCCAATCTGGATTCTTTGGTCCTTTACTACATGCACTCTCTTGCTAATCTCCTCATTATTCTTCCATCATTCCCGACTGTCTTAACCTCAGTCTAGAAGAATGAAACAGTGCTCCTCTGAGTCCTCACCTGCCCTGTGGGTGCTCCTGGAGCTCATACACCCTGACTGAAGACACTACATTTTCATGGTCATCAGCCTTAATAGGGCCTTTAACCCTGCCTGGCCATCCTCCCATGCCCTCTCTACCCAGTTATCTCTCTCAATTGCAACAACTGTTTCATACTTTACCATCAGCCTCCTCACTCTAATCTCAGCAGCAGAGCTGGACAGAAGCCTTCTTAACTTTTAAATCACTCCTGTCCCACCTTAACCTCCACACCATCTGCATGCATATCCATCCTTAATTCCTTCCCTCCTGTTACAAGAAATCATCTTTCCTCTTTCCTTTGGAAGTCCATATGTATCTCCATACTTCTGGGTCCCATTCCCTTCATCCATTCAGGAGCCTCATTCTATAAGTTATCTACAATCTTCTGCATCTTTAATCTCTTTCTCTATTGGCTTCCTCCATCAGCCTACAAACATGTTCTAGTTTCTGCCAACTCATTAAAAATAAATAAATAAAACTCTCTCTGTATTCTACATCCCTCTCCAACTATATATTAGCTCTCTCAACCTATTCACAAGGCAACTTTTTTTTAATCCTCATCCGAGGATATTTTTTTATTTATCTTCAGATAGAGTGGAAAGGCGAGAAAGGGAGAGAGAAACATTGACATGAGAGGGACACATTGACTGGTTGCCTCCCGCAGGACCCCAACCAGGGCTGGGCCGAACTGCAATGGAGGTACGTGGCCATTGGTCTGTGGGCTGAAGCTCTAGCACTGAGTCAAATTGTCCAGGGCACACAATCCAACTTCTTGAAAGAGCTGTTAGAAATGGCATAACCTTTCCTAAAAAAACTATGAAGGCAAAAGCCACACTGCAGTGGCTTAAGAATAAAGTAGAGCCCTGGCCAGTTTGACTCAGCAGTTAGAGCGCTGGCCCGCAGACCAGGGAGTCCTGAGTTCAGTTCCTGCTCGGGGCACGTACCTTGGTTGCAGTTTGTCCCTGGCCTCGGTTGGGGTCGTGTGGGTGGTGACCAGTTGGTGTGTCTCTCTCACATTGATGTTTCTCTCTCTCTCTTCCCCTCCCCCTCTCCCTCCAGCTATATCTGAAGATAAATGCAAAAATGTCCTCGGGTGAGGATAAAAAAAAAAAAAAGAATAAAGTAGAAAGTTAAAAAAAATGGAATCAGCAATTATACACAACTCTTATGCTCCTTCCTAAGCTTAATCAGACCTTCCAACCTCTAAAGGGCTCACTTTTCTCTGCTCCCTCCCTACATTTCCTCCTGTAGGCTCCAGTTGGGCCCTATAGAGGCCAAAGAGGGAAAAGATCTCAGAATCACGTCATTCCTTCTCTAGCCTGTGGCTTATTTCCTCTCTCTCCTTCCCACTCTATCTGAACAAAAAAAAAAGGAAAAACGTCCTTGGGTGAGGATTAAAAAAAAAAAAAGCAAGGATGAAACCTGCAGGGGAGATATGGGATTAAGGTATATTTGTGTGTTTTAAATTTTTTTTTTATCCTCACCCAAGGACATTTTTCCATTTTTTGTTTAGATAGCGTGGGAGGGAGAAACATCAAAATGAAAGGGACACATCGAGTGGCTGCCACCCACACGACCAACAAGGGCCGGGGACAAACTGTAACCAAGGTACGCGCCCTTAGCAGGAACTGAACCCGGGTCTCTCTGGACCACAGGCCGATGCTCTAACCGCTGAGCCAAACCAGCCAGGGCTTAAATATTTTTTAATTGATATTTTTTTTTGGAGACAGGAAGGGACAGATAGAAACATTGATGTGAGGGAGAAACATCAATCGGCTGCCTCCTGCATGCACCCTTCCAGGTGTGTGCCCTAACAGGGAATCGAACCAGGACCTCTCAGTCCATGGGATAATGCTCAATCCACTGAGACACACAGGCTGGGCAAGGTATGTTTTAAGAAAAAGTATGTTTGTAAATTGAGTCATTAATAATTAGGCAATTAAGTATCTAAGACTTATTTGTGTGTATTTCTACTTTCAATCCTCATAAAAACCCTGTAAGGTAAGCACTAAATCCTGTTTTATGGATGAGAACACTAAGGCACAAAGCAGTAATCTGCTAGTAAGCTAGAGGCAGAATCAGGATTCAAATCCAGACAGTCTGATGCCTGAGACCATAATCATAACCACTATAAGCCACAGATAGAGAAAAATGTCTGACCTGGCAGAGTCCCTAAACCAGCCCAATGCACATGGTAGACCCATCCAGGGATCAAGATATAGTCAGGTTACTGTTTGAAGCTTATTAACGACTCTAGATCCTCCCAGCACTAGCCTGAGCCTACTCTTCCTGTCTCCAGCCTATGAGCTCCTGGGGGGCAAAGGCAGAGACTCTCACCCCCTTAATCCCAACTCCACATAGCAGGCTGAACAGAGGGAAGCTCATCAGACAAACCAGAAGAACTTTTATTTCCTAATCCACTCCCTGGACCTCTGTCAGAAGGCAGATCAGAGGCACTACAGATGGAAGCAATCCAGAACCTGGCTGAGACCCCACAACACCTGTCACTCTTCATAGCAGTCCCTTTCCATATGCCAGAGGAAAGGGGAATCAGAAAAGGGAGGCCCACTACGGTGGATTCGTCTTGTTGGGGATGTTGAGCAGTTACAGAGGCTTCTGGAGAAGGCACAATCATCCTAGACATTCAGGCATGGAGAACAGCTTGCTCAGCAGGTCTTCAGGACCGGGTGTCTCGAGCCCTTCTTCGGGGTCGGGGACCACAACTGGAGCTAGGTGTGGAACCCAGGCCAGGGGGTGCCCCTGGGGGCTGGTAGCCATATTCATTGGGATCCAGGGGGTCCCGGCTGAGCAGTACCCATACTGCAGGTACGTGTCGGCGCACTGTGAGGGGATCTAAGCCTGTGTCCGGTGAGGTTGGTACCCAGCTGTCCTCAGTCTGCAGGAAGTGCAGCTTGGTAAGCTGGTGCAGGCCTGGTACCCGTCGCTTGACAATCTCAGCACAGCTGACAGCCTTCCCTGCAGCCCGGCCAGCACCTGAGAACACCACATGTCTTGTGCTGCCACCCTCCAACCGACCCAGTGCCAGCCCCAGCAAGTTTCGGATTTTGCTGCCATCACGGACCCGCATCTCCAGGGTATCAGGAGGTAGCTGGGGCATTGGGGAAGGTGCTGGGAGTTCCACAGAGCCAGCTTTCCGGTAGTGCTCCATCCTGCTTGTGCTTGCGTCTGAATCTCACTGCCCACTGCAAGGAAGTATCAGATGAATGATCAGCAATGTGCTCCTGGCCATCCCCCCACTCTGGCTCTCCAAGACATGGCCTTGTTCCTCATACCAGACTTCCCAGGAACAAGACATATCCCCTCACTCCCAGTTTCTCAGGGCAGGGGCCATGCCTGCCTCACCTTGGGAGGGGCTGTGCCCCATACACCCCATTACCATGGCCAGGACCATAACCCTCCCTCCACTAGAGACCTAAACAGAACCAAATTCCTCAGGCTCTTTAAGATAGGTCCAAGCCCCCTCAGAGGGAGACAATCCAAGCTCCAGAGGCATGGGGCCAAGTCTGCCTCATCTTGAGCTCCTTGGGACAGGGTCCGGGCCCTCACCCCAGACTCCATGAGAACAACACCAAGAACAGGAACAAGGTTCCCTCACCTCGTGCTTCCAGAGCACACAGCCAAATCTCTACACCCCAAGCTCCCCAAGGAAGAGACCAGAGCCCTCATCAGAATGCTCCTCAAAGGCGGAGCTGACCCCTCCCTCACCCCGAAATCCCCAAGACAGGGTCGAACACCCCTGACCCCGTGATTCCCAGAGTCATCCCCCCTCACCCAGTTCACTGAGAAACTGAGCAGAGGCTTGACGTAAGAGTTGCTTGGGTTACTTCTGGAGTCGCGCCCGCCGTCTCCATCGCCACAGGCCACCCCTAGTGTCCTGCCGGCCGCACAGCCAAAAGGCTGGCCTTTCTTGCTCCCAGCCACCCCCTACGTCCAGGCGACCCCCAACCCCGCTGGGTTCCGGATCTCACCGCCGAGGCTGCGCCCTCCTCAAGCTCCGATCCAGAGCCAAGATGGCGCGCGGAACGGGAGCGCGCCGAGGCCGCGGGACCGCGCAGGGCGGGGGGCGGGGCAGGACCCGAGGGGCGGGGCCCGCGGAGCTCGGCGGGAAAAGAGGGTGACTAGGAACTCTAGGAGCGCAGCCTAGATGTCCGGGGCCCTAAAACACACGTTCAGTCTATGCTGTACCGCCCCGGGGAAGGAGCACTCCTATTAGGGTGGAGAGAGCCCTGCGGAGGAAAGCAGCGGCCTTTAGAGGAGTCCCGCGTCCGAAGGATGGGAAGGATTTGGCCCTTACAAAATGACGGGGATGGCGTTACTAGTTGAGCGCACCGCAACAGCAAATGCTAAGCTGCGGGCTTCACTTTGGACAGGAGCAAGAGATTCCGTTTGGAGTGGCTGCTGCTGCGTGGACGAGAGCCTTGGTCACTGAGTTCTGAACTTCGACCCCATTCCGTGGGAACTAGCGAGTCACGGGGGGGTTTCATCAGATAGTGTCTGCAGCGGAGAGGGTGGGTGTGAAAATCTGGCCGCAATTGCTGGTGACTCCAGGCTGCTGGGTCCCGGGGTCGTGACCATTGAGACATGTCCGGTGCCGGACAAAACAATTGGCGCTCAAATATTTGTTAAATGATTTGTTTAAAGAATGAACCACAGAAGTGGCAGTGGGAATGGAGAAATGTAGATTAAATTGGGTGATATTTGGAGGTACCTGGGGTGAAAAGCTGGCAACTGTTTGGACAGAGGGAAGGGTCTAGGATGACTCCCACTTTCAGACTTAGTTGGGACATGCTGAATTTGAGATGCCTGAGACCCGGCAGGTGGGTGACAGGGCAGGCCATTGAAAAAGGGCTTGGAGCCACAGCATTCCCTGAGACCACGAGGGGGCAGCAAACACTCGGTGAACTGAGCTGCCAATCTCAAGTCAGCTTTCTCCTGCTTCCTCCTCATTCCCTAGTGGGTCCCCACCCCCAACACCTGTATTGGAACCTCCTGTGTTCCCCTTGTCTGCTATTAGCACCAAGAAGGCTACCAATTGAGAAACTTCATGGCTCCTCTCTGCCTTTGCATATGCTGCCCCTTGGGCTCTCAAAGACCCTGCATATCGCCCTTTAGGGCTGCCTCCTCCATCCTTTTTCTTCTGTATCCCAAAGGACCCTGTGCCCACCTGGTGGGACTGCTCTTTTCCTTGACTCTCTCACAGCCTGTGCAGAGCAGGGATCAGGTGGACCCTACCTATCTTCTCCCCACCTGGCTGACATAAAGAGGGATACTTGGTAAATGTGGGATAAATGGATACGTAAGTGAATGTTCCACTCACATCAATCAAATGAGAGCATTCACCCTGCAAGCCCTATACCTCCCATAAAGCCAGACCAGAACAATATAGCTCCTGGTTCAACCACTAAGAAAGTTGACAACGCGACCCTTCATCACCCCCATCCTCACCCCCATCCCCATCCTGGACCAAGAAGCCAGCACACTCTTCCAGTGATCTCTACAGTTTATTATCTCTGGAATAGGACACTGATGAGGGGAAGGGGTGCAAAGAGCATATTTCAAGTGGCCAGACCTGTGACCTCAGGGCCCCATCTGAGTGCAGACAGATAGGCTGTGAATCCAATAAATACAGAGCTGCCTCTGGGCCCTGTTACCTGGCTGCCCTGGCCCACCCTGGGATGGGTAGCAGCCATCACTCCTCTGCTGGCTTCACTTGCTTGGCAGCTTCTAGCTGGCAAAGTAGCTCATCCCATTGCACGAATTGCTTGGAGAGAAGTATTGTCTAGTTTCAGGTCAAGGTGAGAACAGGAGTCTGAGTGAGGTACTGCAGATATTTTGCATCTGCCAAAAGGGTGGGGAGCCTTGGCCAGTTTGGCTCAGTAGTTAGAGTGTCAACCCGTGGACGTAAGGGCCATGGGTTCAATTTCCACTAAGGGCATGTACCTGGGTTGCAGGTTCCATTCCCGGCCCCGGTCCGAGTTGTAAGGAAGGCAACCAATTGATGGGTCTTTCTCATATCAATGTTTCTTTTGCTCTCCCTCCCTCCCTTGCACTCTCTAAAAATCAATGAAAAATATCCTTGGGTGAGGATTAACAACAAAAAAAAAGGGTTGGGGAAGCAGGGGAATAGACTGACTGGTTGGGATGGGATGAGAAACAGCTAGAGATGGAACAAAAGAACAGGGCTTTAGATAGCTCTCAGGGGCCTGGCTGAACAGAAAGGATACAGTTTTGTTGTATTCCTCCAGGAGAGCCTTAGACTCCTCAGTGATCTCCACACACTGGTCCTGTGGGGCCAAGGTGTGGCAGAAAAAGGAGTTGGACAAAGTCTTCACTTCCCACCAACCTTCCTGCCTCATCAGGGACCTTCACCCACCAGAGAGCCCATATAAGGTGATGTTTAACCCCTGAGACAAAAGGAGCAAATTTCTAAAGGGGTACTTTGAGGCTCTAGGATGCGTACACTAACAGCAGTTTTAAGGTTGATGGAAGGGGGAATGGGCCACACATTTAAGGAAACATTTCTGCTAGTATATGTCACCCCTCTTTCTGAGCCCTTTTTGAATTTACACTAGAGCCTAGAATTACTGAGAATGCACACACACACACACACACACACACACACAGTTCCTCTACCTACAGTCAAGGACACACCATCCCCAGGAATTCTTGGGTACCTCCCAACTCAACCTTTAGGTGTCTCAGAGTAGCCCTACTTCGGGAGGCAGGAGACCTGGATGTGCCCCTAGGCAAGTCCCTTCCCCTCTCTAAGGCAGATGGAAGATAAAGAATAAACCCCCAAGTTTCCCCTGGAGCTGATATCAGGGTTTCCCAAGGCTGTTTCCCCAGGTGGCGGGGATGGGGACTAGGAGACTCACTACCTCTATTTTCCCTTCCAGTTCTCTCCCCTCCCATACCTGCTGCTGGATGTGGATCTGGGCCAAGCGCTGCAGGCAGGCGGCATGCTCAGGAACGGCTGTAAAACACAACGCACACTGCCCGATGATGCTTGTGCCTTCCCCCGGGACTGCTCAATAGTCTATTAGGTCTTTGGCAGGATTAGAGTATTGAGTGGAGAAACTAAACAAACGCCAGGCTTCATCGACCGCTGCAGCTAGAGGTGGTGGTGGGGCTCCCTGCTCACTCCAGTCTTATTCTAGGACCCAAAAAGGAGGGGGAAGATACAGGTCCCTAGAAGACAAAACCTTGAGGTCCCCAGAGTTGTCCCATACCCCCACTCCAGTGCCATAAGCAGGGACAGGCAAAAAGAGCTTTGCCTATCATGGGATCTGTCCCTGCTTTTGGGCACTGGACCAATTCTGCCTGTCCTAGGGAACAGGGAGCCTACAGGTAGGCTGAGGATAGATGCCAGGTCCCTAAGTTAGCTACCTGAGATCCTACACCCAAAGCCTTGGTTACCATGCTAGGCCCAAAGCTTAAGGCTGTCTGATGCTCAGCAGGTAGCTGAGCAGTGGTAGGGAGGGAGAGCTGGGAAAAATACCTCCACAGACAGACAAGATGGATATCTGGATTCAATTAAAGTATTAAAGTCACTGTCTGCTTGTCAAAACCCATAGAGACTGCTCTCAGCAGCGTGGCAGGAAGAACTCACACACGTTCACATACTTGGCAGAGACTCTTACAGTAAAATCTGGGCTCTGCAGCACCCTGAAGGACAGATGTTGAGAGGTGGGATAAAAGGCAGAAGGACTCCCCAGAGTTGGGGCTGCCATGCTCACTTACACTACAATTCTTAGGCCCAAATTGCCTGGGGTTCTGAAACTGAGCTCTCTGCCCTGGCAATGTTTAATCCCAATACAGGAGGCAGGTATCCCCAGGGTAAAGATAAAGACAAGGACCCGGCTGGTGTGGCTCAATGGATTGAGCATCATCCCCTGGACTATGAGGTCCCGGTTCGATTCCTGGTCAGGGCACATGCCCAGGTTGCAGGCATGATCCCCGGTAGAGGGAATGCAGGAGGCAGCTGATCAATTTTTGTCTCTCACATTGATGTTTCTATCTTTCTCTCCCTTCTTCTCTCTCTAAAAAATCAATAAAACATATTTTAAAAACAAAGATAAAGACAAGGGCCCTGGCCAGTGTGGCTCAGTTAGTTGGAGAGTTGTCCCATGCACCAAAGGGTCAAGGGTTCAAAGGTCAGGGCACACACCCAAGTTGTGCATTTGATCCCTGGTCAGGATGAGTATGGGAGGCAACCTATTGATGTATCTCACATTGATGTTTCTCTCTCTCTCTCTCTCTCTCTACCTCTCCCTTCCTCTCTCTCTGGAATCAATGAAAAAAGACATCGCTGCCTGGCCGGTGTGGCTCAGTGGTTGAGTGTCGACCCATGCATCAAGACGTTGCCAGTTTGATTCCAAATCAGGGCATATGCCCAGGTTGTGGGCCTGATCCCCAGTGGGGGCCCTATAGGAGGCAGCCAATCAATGTTCTCGTGTGGATGTTTCTATCTCTCTCTCCCTCTCCCTTCCTCTCTCTCTCTCAAAATCAATAAAGGGAAAAAAAAAAAGATACCGTTGGATGAAGATATTAAAAAAAGGACAAAGACAAGGAACAGACCTAGCCTGAGCCCAGGGAACCTGAGGCACACAGGGAAATCCCGCCCATCCACCCACCTCCCCAAGCAGAGTAATAGAGAGGTACCTTTGATATGAGCACTGTCCAGCATAGGCACCAAAGCCTCCACCTGCTCCAGAAGTGCAATCTGGGAAAGGATAAACTGCTCCTCTGAGGTATAAACAGACAAGATAATTGCACTGGGCACTGCTACGCCAATGTAAGGGGCTGAGAACCTGACAGAGGAGATGGCTGGGTCCTGGAGCTTGGGGCAGCTACTCTGACCACTCTGGGTGCACATTCCCCCATTCTGCCCCCACCCCTCCTGAATGCCTCTGGTATGACCCATCTTGAGCCCAAGGAGCCTCTAAGTTTCTCCAAATCCCACCTTTCTTCAAATTTTAACTTGAAGGCCTCTTCCTCTAGCCTCCTATCAACAAATTCAGTTAGCCCCTCCAAGGCCACAGGAGACAAATTACTTCAGACTTAGGACCCCACACGCAAGTGCTCAGAAGGTCTGAAAGAGGAAACACATACATGGCAAACTGCCAGGCAGATTCTGCTCAGTGGCTCTGGAGAACTGAGACAGTAACAGAAGAGTCCAATAAGGAGAGCATGGCCCTGCACAGATTTCAATGGTTGTAAAGAGTGGAAAGGGCACTGAAGAAGGGAGGACTGTTATGTCAAATATTTGAAGGCAAGAATACTTGTCAATTAGTAGAGGAAAAATAATTTAATTTGCTAAACTGGAGCAGGGAGAGCACAAGAAACAGAGCTTGATGGGAGAGTAGATCCAGCAAACTGTAGAAGACTATGAATGCAGGCTAAGGATTTAGGACTTTATCCTCTCAAGGAGTAGGAGGATAAGGAGAGGGAGGGAGAGAGGAGAGAAGGCAGGGGGAGGGGGAGAGACACTGAGGTTTCTAAGTAGACAAAATGGCATGTTGGACATGTGTCTTAGAAAGATGATACTGAACCACATGCAAGAAGAGGAAGATTAGAATCAAGAAGAGGGTTTGGGCCCTAACTGGTGTGGCACAGTTGGCTGAATGTCATCCCACGCACTGAAAAGATACCCAGTTTGATTCTGGGTCAGGGCACATGCCTGGGTTGCAGGCTCAATAACCGGTTGGGGTGTACATGAGAGGCAGCCGATCAATGTTTCTCTCTCTCTCTCTCCCTCCCTCTCTCTCTAAAATAAATCAATTAAAAGCATATTTTTAAAAGACATACCTACATATCTGGCAGAGGATTAAAAAAATCAATACTCCAGCCAGTGTGGCTCAGTGGATTCAGAGTCGTCCCATGGATTGAGAGGTCCCGGCTTGATCACCAGTAGGGGGCATGCAGGAGGCAGCCAATCAATGTATCTCTCTCACATCGATGTTTCTATCTCTCTCCCTTCCTCTCTCTCTAAAAAAGTCACTAAAAACAGCCCAGCTGGTGTGGCTCAGTGACTGAGCATCAACCCATGCACCAAGAGGTCGCCGGTTTGATTCCTGGTCAGGGCACATGCCCAGGTTGTAGGCCAAATCCCAGTGGGGGGCATGCAGGAAGCAGCCAACCAATGTTCTCTCTCATCAATGTCTCTCTCTCTCTCTCTCTCTCTCTCTTTCTCCCCCCTCCCTTTCTCTCTCTCTCTAAAATCAATAAAGAAAAAATCAATAAAAAAATATTTAGGCCCTGGCCGGTTTGGCTCAGCGGTTAGAGCATTGTTCTGCAGTCTGGAGAGACCCGGGTTCGCTTCCTGCTAAGGGCATGTGCCTCGGTTGCAGTTTGTCCCCGGCCCTGGTTGGGTCGTGTGGATGGCAGCCACTCGATATGTTTCTTTCACGTCGATGTTTCTCTCTCTGTCTCTCTCTCTCTCTCTCTTCCTCTTTCTCCCTCCTGCTCTATCTAAATAAAGGATGGAAAAATGTCCTCAGGTGAGGGTAAAAAAACAAACAAACATATTTAGGCCTGGCTGGTGTGGCTCAATGGACAAGGCATCGTCCCCTGGACTAAGAGGTCCTGAGTTCGATTCCTGATCAGGGCACATGCCCAGGTTTCAGGCTCAGTCCCTAGTGGGAGGCATGTAGGAGACAGCCAATTGATGTTTCTCTCTCACACTGATGTTTCTATCTTTCTCCCTTCCTCGCTCTCTGGAAAATCAATTTAAAAAATATATTAAAAAAAAACCTACATATTTAAAAAATAAAAAAATATACATACATTTTTTAAAAAGGACCTAGGAGACTGTAGCTGTTCATGTGTGAGGGGATAAACACTGAGGCAGCAGCCACAGAAAGGGATGAAGAGGCAGACTCAAGAGTCAGTGCAGCCTGGCTGGTGTGGCTCAGTGGTTGAGCATCGACCCATGCACCAAGAGGTTGCCGGTTAGATTCCTGGTGAGGGCACATGTCCAGGTTGTGAGCCCGATACCCAGCAGGGGGCATGCAGGAGGAGACCAATCGATGTTCTCTCTCATCGATGTTTCTATCTCTCTCTCCCTCTCCCTTCCTCTCCCTCTAAAATCAATAAAGAAAAAAAATTTTTAAAAAAAGTCAGTGCAAGAGAAGATCTGAACTTGATGCTTGAGCCATATCGATAGCTCAGAGATGTTCTGGTTCACAGTTGTATACCTCATACCTAGGATAGTCTGGATTACAGGAGATGATTATTAAATATCTTTTCAGTGAATGAACAAACACAGGTGTTTGGCAAACCCTACCTCATGGAGTGGGGGACTAACTGATGAATAGCCATTGCCTAGAACTCTGAAATCCCAGAGCTTTTTCACATGAAAAAAGATGTTGAAACTGATGCCAATTTTATCCTCACCCAAATGCAATGCTCTCTGCTCCCACCCTTTCCTAGAAGCTCCTCTGTCTAGTAAGCAGAAGTGGAAGGTCCTATAGGAAAATCCTACAGGTAGACCATTGATGGAACATTGGAGTAGCCCCCACTGTGGCCTACAGCTGACTCAGAAGTATGCCGCACCCAATTCCTACTAGAAAACCATAGGACCACCTTGGGCTTCAGCTCAGACAAAGGCCAGAATTACAGACAGCAGTTTACAGGGCTTTAACCATTAGGACTGGTAAGGAGGCCATCTCTGTGCCCAAATTCCCCCACAATCCACATCCCCAGATGAATGCACACACCTGCTAAAATGAACTGCAGCTTTGAGGCATCAGGAATGGCAATGCGGTCCATGTATTCAGGATCCAGGTATTTGATTAGATCTTCAACTAGAAAAGTAGCAAGATGGAAAATGGAATAGGGCTGGGGAGTGAGAATCTGTTTTATGAAGGTTACTGGGGGAATGGTTCACCTTGGGGAGAGCCCTGAGTAAGGAGCTGACATCTACAGTGTCAATTAGCAGGCCTCTCCCAGGAACTCTATCCCCACTTCACTACCCTGTCTCTCCCCTCTGATCACCTGCTAGCTGACCTCAAAATTTTTTTTTACATTATGATTATATATTTTTTAAGCACTCTCAAGAGGAATAATAAACCTGCTGCCTACCTTGATTTTTCTTTACTTTTTTATTTTTTATTTTTGTTACAAACGTTTCTCCTTTTCCCCCATTGACACTCTCCTCCCAATCCTGCGCCCCCCAACCCCACATTGTTGTCTATGTCCATGGTTATGCATACATGCATATAAGTTCTATGGTTTATCTCTTCCCATCCTGTCCCCCTCTTCTGAGGTTTGTCAGTCTGTACCCTACTTCTATGTCTCTGGGTCTATTTTGTTCATCAGCTTGTTTTGTTCATTATATTCCACAAATAAGTGAGATCATGTAATATTTGTCTGTCTCTGATTGGCTTGTTTCGCTTAGGATAATACTCTCCAGGCCTCTCCATGTCATCTTTCTTTCTTACAGCTGCATGGTATTCCATTGTGTATATGTACCACAGCTTTTTTATCCACTCCTCTATTGATGGACACTTGGGCTATTTCCAGATCTTAGCAATTATAAATAGTGCTGCTATGAACATAGGGGTATATATAGTCTTTCTGACTGGTGTTTCAGGCTTCTTAGGGTATATTCCTAAAAGTGGGATCAAATTTTAGAGCTGGGAACATAAGTGCCTCCACCACCCTGGGGCTCTAAATATTCCCACTGACCTATGTTCACCAAGGGTGGAAGGCCCCTTGCCCCTCAGTGCTACCAAGACAATCCAGAGCTTTAACTGATTTCTAGTTACTGAGCATGTTGCTAGCTCTGACACAATCATAAAGACATGGTTTAGCCAAGGGCTCTAGTGCCTAATTAATTTCTTGCCTCTAAACCTTGCCTGTGGAATCCCACACCGGTTCTCCATACTTCACCTTTTCAGACAGAGCTCTTACCCCGTAACTTAGGACACTGACATGGGTTTGAAGTTTTACCACAAAATAGAAAGCACAGGGAGGGATGGAGAGGATGGACTCAAGAGTTAGTGCAAGAGAATATCCATTTCACCATTTTACCATTTCACATTCTATCTTCAAAGGGAAACTCCAGTGACCTAACGGGCTGAAGAACCAGGGCCATGTCTCAGGAAGTATAGGAATGGAAAAGAAGACATAGAAACACTTACTCTTTTTGTATAGAATCTTCACTCTCTCTCTCTTGCTAGCGATGTTCCCCAAAGCTACCTGCACCTTGACCAGGTTATCAGCCACCTGTAAGGGGAGTGAAAGTTATCTCAAAGATTCACCACCTGGTTTAAGGCTTGGAAGAGGTAAAAAACAAACAAACAAACAAACAAACAAACAAAAAATTCAGTCCCTCAGACTTCTAAGCCTCTTTGCCCCAGAAATCTAGGTTGGTCACTTTCTCTTGTATTAAAGGAGATGCAACTCCACCTTCTGGGTATCCTCAGTATGAAGAGGGAGATAATCATATACTCCTTGGGGGAGTTTCAAGTCTGACTGGGGAGAAAATGAACTATTTTGGAGTTTATGGGGTGCTAGCATATACTATATATTCCCTGGTTCCTACCTCTCTGACTGAACCTACCTAGGCTTTAAGGGGAGAGGATAAAGAATTCCAATATTAAAGAGCTGAACAGATGAGGGGCAATGAAAGTGAATGACCTTACCTAGGTTTTAGGTTAGAGGGAAAGGAAGACCAAAATTCAAGGGTCAAATATTTGGGGAGGCAAATAAGATTGAACAGCATAGCCAGAGATGTAGATGTAAAAAGATACCCAGGAGGGATAGCGTTACAGATGTCAAAGGGAGAAGGTTTTGAGAAGTCAGTTCTCAAATGGGGCACAATCTACTAGTGACAACTAATTCCACAAAGGTATACAAACAGACATCATTACCTCTGATGCACTTAAATCCATGGTATTTCTGAGTCTCCACGTTCAGTAAAAGTTCTTCCCATAGTGAAAAGGGGATGGAAGGGCAACTGAGTTTCCGCAGTTGTGAAAATTCAATAACTGGTGTGAAGGAGTACCAGACCATGCTAGAACACCCAGTATCCAATCCCTTACCCTACTAATCCTGGTCCTCTCAAGATCTCACCTCTCACCCCTCAACCACCCAGCCTTCCTTATGCACCTCTGCTGTGCCGCCTCTAAGTCCCATGGACCTCTTTCTGCACAATTCATTTAGCAATTAATTACACAGGACTCCATGACGACCCTTCCATTGTGGACTTCAGCTCTTATTGAAACTCTCATTAGTCAGCTTCCCAAGTGTGTCAAGTCGCCCCAACTGGCCCGCAAAGGCAGGGGTGGAGTCATGGTCACAATTCATACTGAGCACATCTCAAGCGGGCCTAATAACCCGCAGTTCCCTGCATGGGCATGGGCATGGACCCCGAGCGTCCAATATGCTCCGGGATCTCTCGGACCTTTGTTATTTCAAGGCTGGAGTGCGGGCGATGTAACTAGAACAGCATCAATCCCGAGGCCCAGGCCAGAAGACGGCCCTTGCTCTGCCCCAGAAAAGGATCACTGGACCCCAAATCGCTCACCTTCCGCGAGCCGTGAGACCCACTCGGTCCGTACACCCAGCGCTCCAGTTCCTCCACACGGGCCTGTAATCGCTGCACATCGGTCACAGCCGCCATAGCTACCACCCCACCTCAGCGGCAGCCAGTGGGCGGGACGTCGGTCCAAATAGAGAAGGTAGGCCAATCGGGTGTACGGGCGCCCCCTTCATACAGGAAGTGACGCCATGACTCAGGCCTTCAGTGCCGGAAATTACCGGCTGGGCCGGCGAAAGGAATCAAAAGCTGTCTGGTTACCTAGGCAACGGCCACCGGTCAGGCCCCACCCTAGCTTGCACCTCCTGCTTGTCAAGACAACCTTTGCCTTTCTTCTTCTAATTTCAAGGTACCAAAAATGTTTCCCCATCTCATTCCCCGAAGTTGCGTAAATAAATACACCTATTATTCCAGTATTGGTCCATTCCCATGAATCAATAGGAAGCCCTGTGAGATACCATAATCTTTTACAGTCTAATAAGATTAAAGCGATTAAGTGCTTTGCCCAGGGCCACTCGGTACTATAGTGGCAGAGTCAGAATTTGAACTCAGGCAGTCTGATTCATGAGACGGAGCTCTTCTACTCTCGTGGACTTCTGCTATTCTGTCTTCCCTCCTGACCTAAAGCAGCCTGTGTATACCACATAATTTCTTTCCTACCCCCAGATCCAAATAAAAAGAAGAGGCACTGGGGAGGGAGGGACTCCAGCTTTATTTTCCAGATGTGACCTGAGGGATATCTCCTTCACCACACCCCAATCCAACACTTCATCTGGCTCCTGAAGAGAAGAAGCAGGTCTCCAAGAGGTAGGGTCCTAGAGATGACACTGACACAGTGGGGCACATGAGGAGATGATGAGGGTTATTACGGGCAGAACTCTTTGGTAGATGCTGCTGAATTTGGCCAGAGAGGAAGTGCCCTCCCTTTACAATGAGGTAGAGGTAACATCAAAAGAAAACTCTTTGCATTCAAGTCCACATGGCATGTGGGGGGAGTGGTCATCTCCCACATTGGGTCCTAGAGGTAGACCCCCGGGAAGAATCAAGATGGAGGGGTTGTCTCTTCCTGGCCCCAGCAATGGGCTGGGACTCTTAATTCCAACTGGGAGCTCTCAGGGTGAGGTGGTGGAAAGGAGGGGCCCTGTAGGGGTTGGGGGTGTGGGGTTAGTTTGGCCCTGGGAAGTTGGCACAGGCTGGCGGCGGGCAAAGAGGATGCCTGGCAAAGGGGTGAGGAGATGGTAGAGGGCAAATACAAGCAGGAGGGAGGATGGCAGGAAAACAAGAAGTAAACAAAAGTTAGTGACCTGACTGCTAGAATACCACATACATACCTCTGCCACAAACCAATGAGGACAAACCCCTTGGGTCAGTTAGAAACTTCTATGCCAATATAGATCCCCTCGAACAGGTAAACAGTAAATATTTATACTGATACATAGGCCCATGACAAGGTAGACATCCTGTGGTACCCATGGTACCCATAGAAAGGTCATGCCTTGGACCCCATGCCATGTAGACAGCCTCTTTAACACATGCCAGTGTAGCAATCCCCTAAACCCCATATTACTCATGCAAGTTTGGATATCTGAATCTCATGCTAGTAGAAAAAGTCTAAAATTCCCATGCCAATGTAAATGCCCCTGACTTCATGCCAGTGTAGACAGCATGCAGTACCCATACCAGTGTAGACCACCCCGTTGATCTCTAGGGCCATGTTGATACTGCTGATACCACTGCCTGCCAGATTGAGAGGCCCATCCAGGCGCTCTTCTGTCCAGGAGGGGACAGGGGAGTCACATTTTTAGAAATCATACTTCAGACTTACAAGCTCCCCTCCTCCATCCCTATAGACATCCTCCATTCCACTTCAGCCCACATCTGTAATCACACAGTTGTCTATTGAGGGATCTATCTGCCCCACCTCCAATGCCTATCAGGTGATGGGTCTGTCCTCCTACAGTGCACAGGCTCAAAGCCCTATCAGCAATAAGCCCCTCCTCACCCCTTAGGGGAACCTTTCCATGGGGCAGAAAACTGGGGGGTGTGCCAGGTCGAGGTGGGTCCATGGACCCCATCAGCACAGCCCTCTTCTCTGGAGGTTCCTCTGGTGCCAACTTCTCCCGTGCAGGTCCCAAGGCCAGGCCCACAGGCAGTGCCAATCGAGGGGTTGGAATTCCACTTTCCTCTGGAAGAACAGGTCATTCATTCAACTCCCCAGGCCCAACCAACTCAGTCTCTGCATTTGGTTCTCCCCCTAGGCCTGGAACCAAGGGAGATCAGTCACTAAAGCTTAAGCACCAAGCTCAATCCCCACTCCCATCTAGAGTCTCAGCCTACAGGCTCTGAAACTGGAGAGCCCAAAGGGCCAATATATTGATTTTTTATTTTATTTTTTTTAAGAGAGAGTAAGGGAGAGAGAGAGAGAAACACTGACTGGGCATTGAACCTGTAACCCAGGTATGTGCCCTGACTGGGAATCAAACCTGCCACACTCTGATGTATGGCGAGACACTGCAACCAACTGAGTCACACAGCCAGGGCCCAAAGGGCCAATATATGTCTAGGTTGGTCTAAGACAACTTGGAGGACTTCTTGGTTCTTAGTTGATAAATAATCCGGGTCACAGGAGGCACAAACCACATGCAAATAGGAACCCTGGTGAGGAATGGAATTGCTTTGGATAAAGGACCTTCAGCCCCATACCACGGTAACCCTTACTCCAGGGCTCCTAAGGCTTCATTGACTTCACACCTCAGGACACCTAAACTTTAGAGTGCATCAAATCCCATACATCGATGCCTCCCACATTCAGAGCCCCCATATTTTAATGTTCATTATATCTCAGCATACCCCTAGGTCTCAGAGACCCCCAAACCTCAGCCCCTCCCCCCCTCACACCTTTCTTAACGGGGCTCGGGCTCAGCTGCGCACAGGCGTGCGCCGGCAGACCGGAGGCGGAGCCCTGGGCGGGGCGGGGGCCGGGCGTAGGCGCGGGCAGGGTGGAGCCAGGACAAGTAGCAGGGCCCGGAGTGCCCCGAGGGGGCGGTCCAGCCAAACCTAAGAGCGGGGCGGCGGTGTAAGCCTGACGACGGCCCTCGCGCCGGTTGCTGTCGATGGCTGCCTGGAGCTCCCCCGGGGAGCTGAGCGCCCGTGTCTCGCACTCGTATGGGTACAGGTACTTCATGTACCTAGGGGCGGGAGGAATGTGTGCGTTGGAGAAGCTAGACCCTGCCGATCAAGCCCTACACCCAGACGCCCGCCCTGGGGGCCGCCTCGCAACGCCCCGCCCGCGGCCTAGTGCTCCTGCTCCTGGCCTTACTGGGTGCGTAGAGTGAAGGCAGCCGACGTGATGGTGGTGGGCAGACTGAGGCCGCGCGTGACCTCCCGCCACACCTTGCGGTTGATGACTTCCACCAGGCCACCTTTGGCCGTCACCAGGCGAAACAGCGCGTACAGGTCCAGCACCTGCTTTGCCATGATGGGCACGCGGTTCACTGGCGTCCCTGGTGGGGGTTGGGCAGAGAGTCAGGATACAAAGACTAAGACCCCCTTTGTGGGCATCCTCGGGGACTGAAGGAGTCTGCTGCCTGGGTGAGGCCGGGGTACAGGGCAGGATGTCGAGAAAGGAGAGGAAGAGGAAGAGATGGGGAGATGGTGGTATACCAGGCAGAACCCATAGAGCTCCAAGGAGGGACAGGAGGCTAGACCAGGGGTAGGCAAACTTCTTCTGTAAAGGATCAGATGTTAAATATTTTAGGTTTTACAAGCCAAATGGACTCTTAAGAAGTACTTCACTTTGCCATTGTAATCTGAAAGCAGCTTTGCGGCTGGGTTCCAATAAAACTTTACGGACTCTGAAATTCGAATTTCACATGTTGGAAATGTTATTTGTCTTTTAGTGTTGTTGTTTTTTAACACTATTTAAAAATATAATAACCATTCTTAACTCTCAGGCGGCTAGATTTGGTCCGCAAGCTTTAGTCCGCCGACCCCTGGGGTAGACCGTAGGAAGGACTTCCTGACAGTGCTGATGAGAGGCCGACTCCCCTAAGCAGCAGCCCAGGGAGGCTGTCTGAGGCCCAAGGATGGTGGATGGGAGAAGAAGCGGCCCCTGCCTCGGCTCGCCAACTCCGCAGCCCACGCCGCCCCCGCTGGCCAGTCCTGACAAAGGGGCCTGTCTGCGCTGAGCGATGGGCCCCAGTTAATTCCTTACCGATCCTGTCCCCTTCCGCTGCCGCCTTTGGACCCGAACAATTAGCTGCGGCCTGATTAATGGGGGAAAATTATCGGCCCCGCGAGACCCCCTCCCCCTGCAGAGGGAGCAGAAGGAGGCAGGACTCTAGGGAGGCACAGCTCTGGGCCTGGTGAGGGAAGTGATGGGTCTGATCAGACCCCCTACCCCAACCCCCAGTGGAGGGGAGACCTCAAGGAAGACTAGGTCTCCCTGGGGAGCAGAAGGATTTGGGGCCCTACTGAGGGTCCTTGGCTAGGAATGAATCCAGAAGGGGTGCTGGGCCTAGGGTGGAGGCCTGAGAGACTTTGGCCAGCTTCTGCACTGGGAGTGGGGGGGTGGGGGGTGTGCAGTGCAGCCAGTTAATTAGCAGCTTATCAGGCCATGCTCGGAGTGAGTTAATTAGCTTTGTTGAGAGAGATAATGAGTCAGTCTTTGGACCCATGAATCTGGGGAGAAGCCTAAGTGATAGACTGCCACCCTCCCTGATCCCCTCCTGGACCCTTTTTGCATTCTCTTTTAGCTCTGAGATTTCTGGAAAGGAATTCTTCCTCTTCCACATCCCCAACTCACATGGTCCTCAGCCTACCCCTTGAGAAGTCCCTCCTTCAGTCTAATCCCAGTCCTTTCTGCTGTAGAGCACATTGGGTATCCCCTGCCTGAAGTAAAGGGAACCTGAGGAGAGACAAGGCTGGAGGGCAGGGTCAGCAAAAGAGGACCAAGGCATTCCCAGCCCCCTAGTCCTGGGAAGCCCCCCCCCACCAGGCCAGCCCCCCACCAGTTCCCCTTCCCACCTTCCCAATTGATCCCACACTCATTAACCTGCCAGTGGGCTGACCACTAATTAATTGCTGGGTGGAGGAGGAGGGCAGGGTCAGAGGTTAAAGATGCTATTGAGGGCCCAAAGTATAGGTGCTGCCAAGCTCAGGCTTCTACAGAAAGGACCCCACCTGGGGACTAAACCCTGAGGTCTCCCATCCTCAAACCTGGTAAGTGAAGGTCTTTCCCTTATATCACCCCACTCACCCCTCTTCTGCATGAAGCTAAACAGGTCATCCAGAAATTCCTTCCTCCTGGGGTCTGCATCGAGCTCGTACAGCTGGGGAAGGACTGAGGTCATTTTCCAGCTCTGTTCACCTCCACCCCCTGGGAACCCAACTCAGATTGTACCCTGAATAAAGGTCCCCAGCTGAAGGGGTAAGTAGGGTCTGAAATGTGGACTCCCAGGCATTAGGCTCTCTCCCACTGGGTGCGGTAGGGGCACTTCATTCTAATACACATTCAAGAAACTACTGGCTAGCCTGGGCAGGTCAATAGGGGAATAGGGGAAGAGAGGAAGCTATGGAGGCTTAGCTTGCCCTCCAGGGCATGCACAGACTGCAGGGAGGAAGTCAGGATGGAGCTGTGTTCCACACTGAGGAAACTGACAGATATGTCTGAGGCACTCATTCACTCTTTCTTGGTCATTCCAGCAAGGGCTTCTTTCTGTTCACTTCTCTATGTGCCAGGGCTGGGGATGATGACTCTAACCCATCCCTCAGGCAGGAAGGATGCTCAGAACCTCCTAGATTGAAACCTAGGGCCCCTCAGCTTACCTTCTGGTCTAACACTTGTAGGTAATACTCCATCCCCCAATAAGAACTCTCAGGAAAGAAACACCCACAAGTAACAAACCTCAGAGATTTACCTTTAGAGCTATACTCCCACAAGAACTGAGCCCTAAGTCTTAGATGGATGCCCACAAATAACATACACACTCTCCAAGTAATAATCTCCAGATTTATACCCAGGAGAAACAGTCGCTAGAGCCATATCTCCAGAGTTACACAGGCCTGAATAACACTCCTCTTTACACTAATGCCACAGAGTACTAACCACAGAGGAACACTTCTGGAAAATATCCAAGACCAACACCCTACAGGTAACACTACCAGAATAGCACACCTAGAGTTACAGCTCTATGGAATACCTTCATAGTGACAGCCTGGAGTAGTGCCTTAGAATAACATCCAGATGGGTTATGCAGAGAGGAAAAACTCAAATAAGGCCCTATGAGTAAGATCTTGTCATTCCCAACCGCACAGGGGTCCGTTAGTCACACTGCAGTTGTAGTGGCCATAACAGGCTAGGAACTGTCACCCACATAAGTCAGGCCAGTTAGAGGATTTGGATGGGAGGAATGTGACAGGGAAGAGATGCAGGGGTTATCAGTTTGCGAAAAGAGTAGCAAGCTTCATTCTGCTCCCAAAGACAGAAGTAGGCAGCCCAAGACATCCCCACTGGTCACTGAAATATGACCTTGAGATTTGATGTGTGAGAAGTTAGGGTAGGATGGTGCTGGCATTAGAATCCCTAGTTCTCAGATCCCCTTCCCTCAAAAGAATTCTTAAAGGCTCCTACATCCCTATCACTTTTCCTTCAAGCCTCACCAAGAGCCTCCAATCTGTCAGCCTCCATGTTTCTGGGTGTCTTCTGCACCTCTTACTGTTTGCCTATGCACTTCTTTCTGTGTCTCTGGGTACCTCTCTTTCCCTCCCTGTCACTATCTATCCTTCATTCTTTCCACTGTCTCTCTCCAGGTCTCTGTGTCTCTGTCTTTCCATCCTGTAAAGGGCAGCGGGGTAGGTGGGCTCCTAATCACCAGGCTCTGCTTTTGTTCAGAGAAGAGGAGAAGGGGAGGGCCTGACATTGAGGGGTTCCTACCTGCTTGAACTGTTCCTCGTAGGTCCACTCATGGGGATGAGGTCCAGAGGGCTGGCTGGAAGGTGAGCTGGGACCCTGGGTTCCTGGACGACTCTCCTCAGCTGCCTCTTTCTCGGACCTGGCTTTCTCTCCCTCCTCATCCTCTCTGGTATCCTCCTCTTCCTCAGCCCCAACCATCCCCAAGGCCCTCTCAGGGGCCTGCAGAATCCGGGGGGCAGGCAAGAGAGGCTGTGGTGGTGGTGGGTGTGGAAGGGCCAATGGCCTCACCCCCTGGGCCAATCTGGCTGCCTGCTGCCTCTGCAGGGCTTCCATTACAGCTTCCAGGCGCAGTCCCCCTGATGGTGGGGGGGCTGGCACCAGGCGGGGCCCCGAAGAGAGGGCCACCTGTGAGAGAGGGCATTATGGGTGCTGGGTCTTGCTGCCCCCGAAATCCCCAACACAAGGGGAGGTGGTTATGGATTCAGGGAAGTGCAAGGGGGCCAAGGAAAAAGACAGAAAGATAGCTTTCTCAGAGATTGACAGAGAGGTAGAAAGAGCAGGAGAGACAGAGCTAAAAAGACAGAAATGGGCATTGACCGAGGACAGGCAGAGATTGAGCAGATCAAAGGGGGGTGACAAGGACCAAGAAACAGAGAGAGATTGGGGAGAGTGAGAGAGAGGGATCCAACACACACACACACACACACACACACACACACAGAAGGAGAATGACAAGGAGATGTGGAGATAGAAATGGAGATGGGACAGAGAGACAAGGAGAGACAAAGGTGAAGAGAGACAAAGATTGAGAGGAACCAAGATGGAGAGAGACAGAGATATCAGGCAGACACAAGAATGGAGAGAAAGATGGGGAGAGATGAGACTGGTAGAGATACTGGGTAGAGAGATAGGGAAGGTAAGAGAAAGAGGGGAGCAAGAGATAAATATCAAAGACCTGAGTGACAGTCCAAAAGGAGAAACAGAGACAATTAGTGAGGCAGGGATTGAGAGAACTGGAAAGACCGACTAGCAGGTGACAGAAAGAGAGAGATTAGAAAGAGACAGGGCGAGACAGTAGATAGAGGGAGACAGACAGACACAGGGAAAATAGACGGAGAGACGCGGCAGAGACGCAGAGAACTAGAACTAAGGAGGCGCAGGCATAGAGGGTGGCAGGGGTAGAGCCCCGGACCAAGTCCGGACCGGGTGGGCAGGGGACGGCGGGGTCTTGACGCCCGCTCTCTGGCTCTCGACGCCCGCTCTCTGGCTTCCAACGCCGGTTTTGGCTCCGGGCACCTCGCGGCCACACTCACCAGCCTGGCGCGGCCCGCTGCTCCCGTCGTCTCCACGGTTCTCCCTCTGCTACAACCGCCTCTCGGGCGGTCCCTGCCTCCGCTCGGTTCCCCGCGCGGGGTCCCCCACTGTGCGCTCCTGCCGCGGTGCGCTCCTCTGGCCGTGGTGCACTCACGCCGCTTTGCTGGCGGCCGCCGCGGGGCGGGACCCGAGCGGGGCAGGGCGGGCGGGGACACAGGGAGAGAGGCCCAGTGGGCTCTGCCCCTCCCAACCCCCCAACAGGTGTTTCCCACCTTCCCGCACAGCCAGATTCGGGGGAGGGGGCGCTGGAGAGCTGATGGGAATCATGCAAAAGAGAGTGAGGAGTCTACTGCTACTAGACTGGGGACCAGGGCCCCGCCCAACCTCACAAATCATGCTCCCACACCCACACTCAGTAAGTGCCCGGTATTCACACACAAGCAGCTGTGTTCACAAACCAACATACCCTGTCACAAGTTCAGGCACACAGTTGCCCTGTTTCACATAAGGAGTTACACGAACACTACAGAGCTAATGGCCTATGATCATAAGGGGAATCACTCTGCAGGATTCTGGGGTGAGTGTGGAAGGCCTGGACAAAACTGAAACTTCTCCCATGCTTTGCTCAATCCTGCAGTTTGCACAATATGAGCACATGGTGGTGTACTCACACCTATGTACTCACACTTGGAGGTCTCTACGCTGATTCTACACCTGCAGCTGGGTACACTTGCTACATGGAGATACACAGCCAGCCACACAGTTTATTTTTTTAATAGCTCTTTTGATGTTCTATTACAGACATCTTCAAACATATATACAAAAAGAGTGAAGAGCATAATGAACCTCTGGTACTCATCAAACATTTCAACATTTTGCCCATCTTCACATTCATCCTCCACTCATGTGTGTATGACTCCCCAGTCTGTATCTCCAGACTCCTTCATCCAACTGATTTAGGTGTAGTCTACCCCCAGTTAACCTCAGATGCTGAGATGCTGTTCCTTATTTGGGGGTCCTGATGGCAGGTTACAATTCCTGCTCGGAGCATCCTGGATTCAGTTCCTCTCCAGCACTCTTATACATAGCCCAGTTTCTCCCGGTATGCAAGGAGGAGGGCCTACCAAGCAGGAGGGCCACTTGGAGGTGATGTCAAGTGTATAAGAACAACATGTGTCTGTAGGAGTGGCACCTGGTATGGGTGTGAAACTGCTATGTCAAACCCAAACCCTGCATGGGAATCATCCCCTGACCTCATACCCAGTGAGGAAAGATTCCTCCCAGGGCCAAGATTCCCCCAAGAGGCAGAAATCCAGGTGTGACTTTTGCTGCTTCTTCCCTGCCCCATCAGCCCTCTCCTCTCAGACCCAGCCTACCCTGCCTTGGGTCACCAGCTCTTCTCACCAGGGTGACCCTCATTCTCCCTGTCTCTAGCCTCTACACTTGTCCCCAGCCTGGCTACCACAGTAGCACTAAGTCCTTGCTCTCTTTGGCCCATCCCTGGCCACAGTGAGGCTCAGTCCTGCTCAAAACTTTGACTCACTCCAACGCCCTCCTACTCAGATTTTGGACCTGAGCATCAGATCCCTTCCCCATCAGGAAGCCTTGGTGATCCAACCACCTTCAGTACTGATGTCCGCTCCTGAATAGCTTTGTGTGGTGAGTGCTGGGACAGAAAAGCCCCCTTTTCTGCCCAGCCCTCTCTAAGACTGGTCCCACAGAGGGGAGAATCACTGAATGTGCAGAGGCAACAAACACATGCCCTGGGAGTCTCCTGGGGGACTAGAGGGCAGAGGGTAGAGATTTGTGGAAGTCCTGTTCCCAGCTTGCTCCTCTTTCCCCACACAGCTTTTCTTGGCTGTTCAGAAAAGGTGCCTGGAGATAGATGGTAAGCTTCCCCTTGGAAAGGTAGGAACTGGCTTGGGGAATTCCAGTTCTGAGCATTTGGAGATTGCTTTGAGGGTGTTGAAGGGTAAGAGAGGGGCAGGAGACTGAGCAGCTACTTCCAAAAGAAAAAGAATCAATCAAACATGGTAAACCCTCCTTTGGAGTCTGAGCCACAAGTGCTAAACTGGAAAGGGCTGAGGGGAAAGAATAAGCCTGACTGAGACCTGGTTCTCTCTTCATCTGTTAAAAGGCTGTCTCTCATACTCACACATAACCCCCATCTGAACTTATACCTCAGAAAGACTGACAGACAGACAGACAGACAGACCTAGACCTTTATTCATCCAACATATTTACCGAACACCTAATTTATGCCAGGCACAGGAGAAAATAAAAATGCCTCTTATAATGGTGTAATTCCAGTGGGAAATAGTGTCAGATAACAATAACTAAAACAAAGAGACATAAATCTGGATTAGGGGAATAGAAAGGGAAGAGTGTATTAGTTATCTATTACCATGTAACAAATTACATGCAAACATAGCAGCTTAAAACAAACATTTATTTTTTCACAATTCTGTGGATGAGGAATTTGAGAGTGGCTGAGTGGGATTCTAGCTCACTGTATCTCATGAAGTTATAGTAAAAATGTTGGCTAAGGCTGCAGTCATTTTGACTGGGATGGGAGGATCCACCTCCAGGATGGCTTACTCACATGGCTGCTGGTGGGAGGCTGTTCTCCTCAGGTGGATCTGAGTGTCTCTCAACACGAGAGCTGGTTTGCCCCAGAGAATGACCCAAGAAAGAGACTAATGCTTTTTATGGCCTAATCTTAGAAGTCATACACTGTTACTTCTGCTATATATTATTCGTCAAAAATACATAACTAAGTCCAGCCCACATTCAAGGGTAAGGGAATTAGGCTTCATTTAATAAAGGGGGGAATATAAAAAATTTTATGCAGATATTTAAAAACCATCACAGAAGGGCTGTTAATACACAGATATTATGGGAAGGATTTTGAACAGCAATTGGGGGGGGGGGCACAGGAAAAGATCCATGAAGAGACTTAGAGAAGAGCATTGCAGGCAGAATAGCAGGTGCAAATACTCAAAAGTGGAATTTTGCTGGATGTGTCAGAAGGGAAACAAGGAGGCCACTGGGCTGAAGAGCTGAGGTGAATGGTCAGATATTTGGTCAGAGGTAACATGAACCTTGGAATAGGTTCCTGGAGGCAGTAAAAAGACTGCCTGAAATGGGAGCTGATGGAAATATCTGAGCAGAGAGTAAAAGGCTGAGTCTGGCTGTTGTATGGTGAACCCCCAATATAGTACACAAGCATGAGCATCAATTAGGAGGCATTGCAGTAATCCAGGCATGAGATGATGATGGCTTAGACCACTGTGGTAGCAGTGGAGGTGACAAAAAGTGGTTAGATTCTAGATATATTTCAGAGATAAAACTGACAGGATCTGTTGATGCCTTGCATATGAGCTATGAGAGAATAAGAGGTATTCAAGATGACTCCATGGCTTTTAGCCTGGGCACGAGGGTAAATGGAGGTATACTTAACTGAGATAGTAAAGACTGCAGGAGGTACAGGACTGGGAGAAATCAGTTTATGTTGAACATTTTAAGTTTGAGATGCCAATTAGACAACCAGGTGGAGATGTCGGCAGTCAGATGTATGGAGCTCAGAGAAGAGGTTTAGGCTGAGACAAGAAATCAGGAATCAACACATATAGATAGCACACAAGGGCCATCTATGTTGTTGCAAATGACAGGATTTCTCTTTTTATGGCTGAATAATATTCCATTATATATCACATTTTCTTTCTTTTTTCTTTTTTTGGTATGTGCCCCTAGCAGGAACTGAATCCAGGACACTCTGGTCTGCAGGCCGACGCTCCATCTGCTGAGCCAAACCAACCAGGGCTGTATTACATTTTCTTTATCCATTTGTTCTTGAGGGCATTATGCTAAATGAAAAAAGTCAGAAAGACAAATACTCTGTTCTCACTTATTCGTAGAATCTAAAAAACAAAACTCTTAGAACAGAATGGTAGATGCCAGAGGCTCACAGCGGATGATATGGATGAAAGTGGTCAAAAGGTACAAACTTCCAGTTATAAGAAATAAGTCCCGGAGATGTAATGTACAACATAGTAACTATAGTTAACAATACTTCATTACATATTTGAAAGTTGCTAAGAGTGCAGATCTTGAAAGTTCTCATTAAAAAATTGTATCTACTGCCCGGCCAGTGTGGCTTAGTGGTTGAGCATCGACCCATGCACCAAGAGGTTACTGGTTTGATTCCCGGTCAGGGAACTTGCCCAGCTTGTGGGCCAAATCCCCAGTGTGGGGCATGCAGGAAGCAGCCAATTGATGTTCTCTCTCCTCGATGTTTCTGTTTCTCTCTCCCTCTCCCTTTCTTTTTCTCTAAAATCAATAAAGGGAAAAAAGTTTAAAAAAATATAACTATGTGAGGTGCTAGATGTTAACTTATTGTGGTAATCATTTCACAATATCTACATATATCACTATGTTGTATACTTTAAACTAATGTTATATGTCAATTATATCTCAATAAAACCAGGGGCAGGGAGACATATAATAGTATTCAAAGTCTTGAAATGATTGAGATTACCTGGGAGGAGTGCAGACAGAAGTTTGAGGATTGAGTCCAGGCAAGTCAACAAAGGTTGAACAGGTAAGATCTAGTAAAGGAGGCAAAGGAGTAATGTACTGGAAATCAAGTGTTCTAAGAGTGATTACGTCAAATGAAAGTTGAGAATAAATTTAGGCTTAGCACAGAGATGGGGAGGACCCTGGGAGCCTAGTCCTATTGGAAGGGAGGGATGATAGGGGAGCTAGGACATTCCTATAGATGTGGGATGAGCCTAGAGGCAGAACTAGGGGTGGTAAAAATCCTTGGAAGCTTGACTTTGAAACCGTGATCTATGGAAAGGCCCCAGGGAGGACCTGTCACGGCCAACGTGTTGGTGGTATGTCAGGAGGCCATCTTGCCTGGGCTTCACATTCATTCAGAGCCACATTTAGACTTTTGATGTTGCTTACAAGTGGTTATACATGTTGTTGCCTGTATGTTTGTTCATTAGAATGTTAACTTTTTAGAATATACAATTTTTGTAACCATGTTCCTTTCATTTTTTAATATACCAAGTATCCTAAGAATGATCTGGGCCTACTCAACCTCAGAGCAGGGCCAGGAGGAAGAGGAGACAAATAATGCAACTAGAGCACAAAACTTAAGAGGGCACGTGCCGCCCAGCTGGTGTGGCTCAGTGGTTGAGCCTCAACCCATTCACCAAGAGGTCGCTGGTTGGATTCTGGTCAGGGCACATGCCCAGGTTGTGGTCCCAATCCCCAGTGAGGGGCATGCAGGAGGCAGCCAAATGATGTTCTCTCTCATCGATGTTTCTCTCTCCCTCTCTCTCTAAAAATCAAGAAAAAAAAAAAGAGGGTAAGTGCAGGGGTCCCAGAGAGTGCACCTTAGGGCACCTCTCTTGCCTCACACTAATTCCAGGCCCACCTACCCAGACACTACCAGATAGCGTACTTGCTCCCCACCCCCAGGAGCTTCCACAGAAGTGAGGGGTCCTGGAGAAGGCAGACTGGAGAGAAACTCCTGTATGGGTAGGGGTGGACAAAATACCCTGGAAACCCAGAAAAAAGCAAATGGGGAATGACAAGGCCTTGTTCAGCTCAAAAGTGGGTGCACACTGCCATCTTGTGGCCATCCAGGCAGGACCCCCAGGACTGTTTCCAAACCTGCAATGGCAGAGGCAAGGCAAGACATGAATTTCTTAAACTGTCACATTAAAACTTGTGAAGAGGATCTTATTAAAGGTACTGATCTCAAGGCCTCAACCCAGAATTTAACTCTAGGGATTGGCACAGTAATATAGAGTCAATGATCCTCCTAGGTGAGTTTTGGGCACACTAAAGTATATAGCCACTGTTTTATAAACTCAATCACACAGCAAGGGAGAGGCCTTCGTAAGGCCTCCCTTGAGTTAGCACGTTTTCTTGCTGCTCAGATACACAAAGAAATAGAACTGTTCAAAAGGTCTTTATTAACAGAGAGACAGATGGACAGAAAATGCAGGCAGTGTCTGAAAGCTGTGATGAGTGTGTTTGTATAGAAAAGGCCTCTCTAGGCCAGGGATGGCTCCTTGGATCTAGACCCACCTCTTCAGGTCCTCTCCCCAGGGTTGGGCCTCCCCATCACATCTGAGAGAGGAATGGGGATCTTTCAGGATAGGAGGGACCCTGACCTCAGCATTCTCCACATTCTTCTGGTTCCCCAACTAACTTGGTTGCTGAGAGGGTGGGGGACAGGCCATGAGGGGACTTGCATAGCAGGGGAACAGAATGAGGGTAAGGCATATGGTGAGGATAGGGAGATCAAGGGAAAGGGCTTCATAGCTGTAAGTGAAGGGGACCTCCAAAGGCAACTCCTCTTCTTCCTCATCCTCTCCCCAACTGCTGCTGGGTTGAGGGGTCAGACCCAAGTAGAGTGTAATACCCACCACCATCCCTAACTCCAGAGCCCTGATGGGGGGTAGGGAAGCTCTGGAAAGGCCTGAGTTAATGAGTCAAGCTTGTGTTATATGTTTGAACATGACTGGACCCCTTGATATGCATGGGGATTCAGTATCTGAATGTGTGTCCTATATGTTCTCAGGTCTCTGTGTTTGGTGGTATAAGTGTGTATGTCCCTACTTGTATACCAGGAACTCAGTATCTGCATGTTGAGTATGCCTGTCTTTTCACATGGGTTCCAGCAAGTGGATGTATGCAGGCCTGCCTGCTCCTGTCCACTCACAGGTCCTCCTTCAGGCCTGGCTACTCAGGGGTCCTGGCCGAAGAGGTAGGTAGTGAGCTCAAGTCGGAGGCCCCGGGCATAGGCGCGAAGAGTGTAGAAGAGGGTGAGGAAGTCCTGGGTGCTGAAGATTGTGTCAGCCAGCGCGAAGGCCAGGGTAGATGGGATGACTCCCCGGCCGTACTCCACCATCCATGTGTTCGGCCCCCACTCCACAGCCGTTGCCTCACCAGGCCCGTGAACCACTGTCTCCCCTGGGGGACAGGGAGCACCCACATGAGGAGCCTAGCCCTGCTTTTCCATTGCTGCCACCTCCCTGGCCCATGGGCTGCCTAGTGGTAAGGAATGGAGAGAGAGCCTAAGGAAAGGAAAAAGCCTGACCCCTGCCCTGGTCAGTATGGCTCAGTGGCTAGAGGGTTGGCCCTTGGAGTGAAGGGTTGTAGTATCAATCCCCGGCCCTGTGGCCATGAGAGGCAACCAGTCGATGTCTCTCACACAAATGTTTCTTTCTCTCTCTCTCTTCCTCCTTCCCTTCCACTCTGTCTAAAAATCATTAGAAAAATATCCTTGGGTGAAGATTAACAACAACAACAAAAAACCCTGACCTCACTGGCCAAGCCTCCTATCTGGAAGGTTAAGAAGCCAAGATGGAGACTCCCTAAATTTTCCTGTGGCATCACTTGGCTCATGTTCTCTCTTGGAGGAAGCCAAGGAGGAACACTTATGAACATGGAAGTCTGCATTCCCAAGCCTCAGTCATGTTCAACAGAAATTTAGCTAAACTTGGGCTGGGCCTGTTAGATACAGAGGAATGGTTGTAAGAGTTGTGAGGCTTTCTGAAAAATGTAACTGTTCAATTACAATGCCTGCTGTGCTTTAACACTCAATCTCGAACTTAGTTGGAAGTCCATACCTCTACTTTTTTTTTGGTCAAACCTCTACTTTTTATGTAAAATATTTCACTATGTAAGAAATGAAGACAGCCCTGGTTGGTGTGGCTCTGTTGGTTGGAGCACTGTCCCATATACCAAAGGTTGTGGGTTTGGATCTCCAGCTGAGGTGTGATTGGGAGGCAGTGGATGGATGTTTCTCTCTCACATTATGTTTCTCTTTCTCTCTCCCTTCCTCTCTCTCTGAAATCAACAAAAACACATCCTTAGGTGAGGATTAAAAAAAAAAAAAGTTAAAAAGAGCTTCTGATTGCCTGTCTCCCCAACAATTGTTGGAATATAGGATGAATAAAAAAGTGTCTTAGGCCCAGCCAGTGTGACTCAGTGGTTGAGCATCAATCCATGCACCAAGAGGTCACCGGTTTGATGACCTCTTGCAGGGCACATGCCCAGGTTGTGGACCAAATCCCCAGCGGGGGGTGTGCAGGAGGCAGCCAGTTGATTCTCTCTCGATGTTTCTCTCTCTCTAAAGTCAATAAAGAAAAAAAAAAAAACTTTTAAGTGTCTTAACAGATAAAAACCAGACAACGTTTAACAAGAAACGTATGTTTTGCTTCCTTTGACAGAAAATAAAGCAACAGGGGCCCTCAGCCCTGCCTCAGCCAACCACTTATAGTTTATCTAGGGAATTCGAGAACCAGGGGGAGGGCCCTTCAACGCACCCCTTTCCCATGCATGGCTCTCTCCCCCATCTATGGGCATCCCACAATGAAGGGACTCACTTCTCTAACAGACACTCCCTACCCACCTGGGTAGAAGACCTCACTTTTGGTAGTGCCCTCTCTCCACTGGTGGAAGGTGCCAGAGATTATGGTGTCGGAGATCTCAGCCCAATAGCGTCCTGCGGGACAATCAGATGGACACCGAATATCAGGGTATCCGCGCCATCGCATGGCCTAGCCAAACAGAAAGGAGGGCATGGGCCCTTGTACAGCCCCAGCCTCCCGGTCTGGCCCGCCGCCAGCACTGACCAGAGTGGCCGCCTGAGCCGAGGGCGGTGCCGAATAGCAGCACGTACTCGGACAGCGAGGCATGAAGAAGGCACATGGCGCCCATCCAGCCGCCCGCGTTCACGAACACCCATTGCAGTTCCTCGTCGGGCAGCACGTGGCCTGGGTGCAGCCTCCGCAGCTCCACGATGAGCCGAGAGAAGGCCAGCTCATGGTCCAGCCCTGGCGGGGGCAGAAAAGTAATACAATTAGGGCCAGCACCAGTCCGGAACTAGGAAACGATAACCCCGAAACCCCCAGTTCTGACCGGGCCTTCCCAGCCCTCCATCCGTTCATTCACCCGCTCACCCGCGTACTGGCGCGCCAGCTGCGCGATCTCTTCGTGCTCGAAGACAAAGCTCTGCGTGCCCAGCCAGAGCCAGACCACCTGGGCCAGCACAGCCGCGGAAGCCAGAAGCAGCGCGGCCCACGCCCACCGCCGGCCCACGGCCCACTGCATCCCTGCGGGTAGCTTGGCACAACGGAGCAAAGAAGAGAGCTGGGGCCTGCGGCTATGCTTCTCACCGAATCCTAGCCAGTGGCGCGCTGTCCAAGACCCGATCCCCCGCCACAGCCGTGGTACGGCTCTCCCTGGCCAATCGGAACTGTCTGGGCATCCGGGCACGGTCCTTCGGGTTGTACCATTTCCTCGAGGGGAGTACAGAGCGCCGAGCGGGTGGGACGTCGCCGCGAGCACAAAATAAATGGGACTGGGCCAAGCGCTCCCAGCTCCCACATTAGGATCTTCAGGTAAGATCTCTCAGAGCGCCATCCCACGTGGGGTTAGGGGTTGGTGCCGGTGAGACTGAAAAAGGACCTCCCCTGGGCTCACTCATTGGTGAAACTGGCGAGCCCGGAAGCAGAGTCTTCCCGGACTCGTAATTCTCAAGGCCTATCTTTGCTAGCACAGAAGGTGGAAAGGTGGCGTTTCAACCTGAGAATGTTATGGAAGACTTTCTGGAGGCGGTGGCATTTGAGCAGTGTCTTTAAGAGAGATGGGAAGGGCATTCCAGCCATTGAGACCTACTCCAAGAGCAAAGGCCTGGAGGAGAGAAACAGCATGGGTCTGTCTTCAGGGGCCTACAATTCATTATTTCTTCTGAAGCACAGAATGTGGGAGGAGGCTCTTGTAAACCAACTGAGGGTTGTGGTAGAGGAATGATAAAGGAAGAGAAACAAAAGAGAGAAAAGCATTGTGCAGCATTAAGAAAGAAACTCTGGAACTGGATTGACTGGATTAAAAGCCTGACTTCTGCCACCTACTAATTGTGTGATCTTGGGCAAGTTACTTAAGCTCTTTGTGACTCAGTTTGACCATCCATAAAATGGGTTGAATAAAAGTCCCTACCTCAGCCTGACCAGTGCGGCTCAGAGGTTGAGCATCGACCCATGCACCAAGAGGTCACCGGTTCGATTCCCAGCCAGGGCAAATGCCCGATCCCCCATGGGGAGCATGCAGGAGGTGGCCAATTGATGTTCTCTCATTGATGTTTCTACCTCTCTTTCCTTCTTTTTTACTCTGTCTCTAAGAGAAACTTGGCCAAGAAAGGAAAGATGAAGAAGGGATTATCTAGAGGATAATGCAGAATTGAGGAAACTTTTTTTAATCCTCATCTGAGGATATTTTTTCCATTTATCTTCAGATAGAGGGGGAGGGGGGGAAGAAACATTGATATGAGAGAGAGACATTGATTGGTTGCCTTCTGCAGGGACCCAACCAGGGCCAGGGACCGAACCACAACCGAGGTATGAGGTATGTGCCCTTGACTGGAATTGAACCTGCAACTCTTCGGTGTGCAGGCCGACGCTCTAACCGCTGAGCCAAACCAGCTAGAGTGAATTGAGGAAACTTTTTTTATTGGCTCTGGCTTCTGTGACACTCCTGGGCTGACCATTCTCTTTTTTTGTTAATTTTTTTTTCTTTATTGATTTTTAGAGAGAGAGGAAGGGAAAGGGAGAGAGAGGTAGAAACATTGATGAGAGAGAACATCGATTGGCTGCCTCCTGCATGCCCCCCACTGGGGATTGGGCCCACAACCTGGGCATATTCCCTGACCGGGAATGGAACTGGTAACCTCTTGGTGCATGGGTCAACGCTCAATAACTGAACCACACTGGCAGGGCCTGAGTTGACCATTCTCTGAGAACCCTGAATAACTAGCCCAGAAATCTGGTCTCTGTTCCCCTGTTCCAAGCAGAACCCTCTGAGGCTATGTAGGCCTGCAGCTCCCTTATCTAGTGTTTCAGAAAGCTTCTCCAACGCACACTAAAAACAAACAATCAAAACACCCCAATTATCCTTTGGCCTTGATAGGGTTCAGAACAGGACTCCCCAAAATATGCCACTTTGACATGTGAATTATTTTAAGCTGAAGGTATCGAGACCCTGTGGGCTCACTAAAAGCTTTACCTCTTCCTTAAAGAATTTGAACTTGGGGCCTTGCCCATGATAAAAGTTATTACCAGAAATAACTTTTCATGACCTATATATATGGCAGGGCAAACTTCTAATTACTGAACATCTGCTTTTATCCTGCAATGACCTTCCTCCCCACTGAAACCCCAAGGTGCCTTACCTCATCCTTAGCTCAGAATGCTGTATAGACTTCATTTTAACCTTCTGTCTCTGAACCTCTCAGGGATGTGGGGTCTCTGACTCTCTCATGTCATATGTGCATATGTAATTAAATTATTATTTTCTATTGTTAATCTGTCTCTTGTTGATTTGCTGTTTTTTTTAATCTTCACCCAAGGACATTTTTCCATTTTTTATTCAGATAGAATGGGAGGGAGAGAGAGAAACATTGATGTGAAAGGGACACATCGAGTGGCTGCCACTCACACGACCAACCAGGGCCGGGGACAAACTGCAACCGAGGTACGTGCCCTTAGCGGGAACTGAACCCGGGGCTCTCTGGACGGCAGGCCAATGCTCTAACCGCTGAGCCAAACCGGCCAGGGCTGATTTGCTTTTTAAACCAGTCTGAAGAACCTAGAAGGGTAGAGGAAAGTTTCTTCCTCCCCATAGCCTTAAGAGGGTCTAAGAAAGGGGATTAAAGGGTTAGGGGGTCACAGACACCTTCCCTAAATATCCTAGAAGAGATCACATCTCTGCATAGGCCCCATCTCAGCCATTCTCCTCTTCCCCCGAAACATGACCTTGGAGAGACACACAGAAAGGAGAGGCTTGGCAATAGTCCAGAAGAGATGTTTCTGAAGGGGTCAGGTGTTAGTTGGCATGATCCTGGGAGTGGCACTGAAGCACTGGTGTTAAGAAAATGGGGCTGCCTCCAAAATCCAGTCACTTAAACAACAAAGTCAGTTGAGAGAGTAGAAAAGCAGATCTATCCTTCGCCCCCACCATGAACAGCCTATGGGACAGGTACCCCCTACCCCCATTCAGATCCCTGCTCCCTGCTCCCTACCTGGTGGCCTCTTCAGATTCCAGTCAGAGGACCCTAGGGCAGAGATTAGGTAAATGACCAATGACCCAGTTTTTGCATCTGAGCTGCAAAACACCTGGTTTGGCCTGGTCTGGCTTGGGGGAAGGGCCCTCCCTACTACTGCCCAGGTTCTAGTTCACTATTTTTCTGTGTCAAGTGTCACCTGAGTATCAGAGGCATTTCAGAGCAGTGGCAAGAGACTGGAAATTTGAATTCAAATCCTAGTTTGACCACTTGTCCTTTGAGTGACCTTGAAGCCTCTGTTTCTCACTATGAAATGGGGACGATACTCAGCCCATATTTAGATGTCTCTTTAAAAGTGCAGTTGGTCCCTGGCTCTGGTCGGGATCTTGCAAGAGGCAACCAGTCAATGTGTCCCTCTCAGGTTGATGTTTCTCTCTCTCACCACGCCCCCCCCCCCACTCTATCTGAAGATAAATAGAAATATCCTTGGGTGAGAATTAAAATAATACTACTAATAAAATAAAAGTGCAAGGGGAGCCCTGGCTTCTGTGGTTCAGTTGGTTGGGTGTCATCCCTGAACCAAAAGGTTGCTGGTTCAATTCCCTGTCAGGGCACATGCTGGGTAGGGATGTGCAGGAAGCAGTTGAATCAATGTTCCGCTCTCACATCAGTGTTTTTCTCTCTTTCATCCTCTTTCTTTTTTTTAATTCTCACCCGAGGACATTTTTTCATTTTTTGTTCAGATAGAGCGGGAGGAAGAGAGAAACATCGATGTGAAAGGGACACATTGAGTGGCTGCCACCTGCACGACCCAATCAGGGCCCGGGACAAACTGCAACCGAGGTACATGCCCTTAGCGGGAACCGAACCCGGGTCTCTCTGGACCACAGGCCGACGCTCTAACCGCTGAGCCAAACCGGCCAGGGCTCTCATCCTCTTTCTCTAAAAAATCAATTAAAATATTTTTTTAAAAAAGTGCCAGGGGAGGAATTAATTTGAATTTTATTCTAGTGTTAGCCAATTGGTCTGATCCCAGAAAAAGTTGAAGGGGCAGCCTGTGGGACAGGTACCCCCTACCCACATTTACACATCCAAGGGGTGTGTAAACATCCCTGATCAGTGGCTAGAGCTACTGATAGTGCTGTCTTCCCCATATGTTCACATTTCTTATAGCCCTCTTACCCTACCCACTTCTTGTACTTTTGGTGTGTGCATATAAGAGAGAGAGATAGCCCTGGCCAGTTTGGCTCAGCGATTGGAGCCTCGGCCTGCGGACCAGAGAGTCCCGGGTTCGGTTCCCACTAGGGGCACGTACCAAATAAATAAATAAATAAAAATAGAAAGGCTTATTAAATTTTAAAAAGAGAGAGAGAGAGAGGTAACTATGGTATGTCCAAATCTTTTTCTTTCTTTTTTATCCTCACCCGAGGACATTTCTCCATTTTTGTTGTTGTTGTTGTTCAGGCAGAGCGGGAGGGAGAAAGAGAGAGAGAGAAACATCGATGTGAAAGGGACACATCGAGTGGCTGCCACCCACACGACCCAACCAGGGCCGAGGACAAACTGCAACCGAGGTATATGTTCTTAGCAGGAACCAAACCTGGGTCTCCCTGGACCACAAGCTGACGCTCTAACTGCTGATCCAAACTGGCCAGGGCAAAACATGTCCAAATCTTTAGAAAAGTTTTATAAGAGTTTATTTGAGCCAAAGTTTGAAGATGTGTCTGGAAGTAAAATCTAAATGGATTGAGAAAATACTCTGAAGAATGGCAGTTTTGCTATTTCTTTTATGTATTTTGAATCAAAGGAGAAATATAAGGAAGCTACATTAAATCCATTGGTGGTAGATTAAGGAGGCAGGAGAAAGCAAAGTGGGGTAATCTCTAGGATTGGATAAAAAGCAAAATTGAGAAACATACTTCTTTTACATTGGTGAGTACAGAATAGCTAATAATTAACATTCACTGTACTTAGAGATAGTATTCCAGGAACAAGATAGCAATGAGGGGTTTAGTGGTCTTGTGCTCTGGTGCTTGTGGTTGTGCCTTCAAGGGCTCTGGAGAAGAAAATTACTGTGACATTTCAAAGGTATGTTATTCTAGATGCATAAGGACAATGAACAGAGCTCACTTAAGGTAAAGGTTGACCTTTAATTGTAGGTCTGGGACATGACTACCCACTATAAACTGTCCAGTTAGGAACTTGTGATCAGACTTGTGATCCTGTGTAGTTACTTTCAGTCACTGAACTTATCAGACCTGCCATGTGCACTGCCTCTCCACCCCCGACTTGCCAAGTTTATTACATAGCCCCCTTTTCATTCAGTTACTTAGCCCTATTTTCCCAAACATGTTTCTGCTGACTGGTGGGTATGGTTATAGTGTAGTTACCCACTCCTCCAGGTTATACTTGAGGCCAGGGTTCAGCTGAAGCAGATTCCTCCACACCCCCCCCCCAAGTTTGCCTCTCCTCCACCATAGCCACTGAGCAGGTAAGTGAAGTGATTGTAGATCAAGGGTTATACCTTTACTGTGCCCTAGAATGTTAGCAGGAGGGCAGAGGTCATCACGCGGAGCCTAGGTGTCTGGAACAGGGTAGATACTCAGTAAACATTTGCTGAATGAATGACCAAACGAATGACTGAAAGCAGTAAAGAAATCTTGTAAGCGTCTGGAGCTGAGGTACCTGCAGTAAGCAGCTTTCACAGAGGTTTTATTCAATGTACCGGTTTTGACCACGGAATTACCAAAGTCGCCCCCTAATGTGCTAGGTTGTCTGGAGCCCCGCCCCAGATAGGTGGCCCGTTGGCCTCAGATAGTCACGTGCTGGCGACTGGCCAATCATCGGGCGCGGGGCGGGGCTGGCTTGACCGAGATGGTTGAGTGGCAGCCGGGCTCAAGACCCTCCAGAAGTTCCTGCACGGTGGCCTTATGTCGCGCAGCGGAGCGGGTTCTGAGCAGCGCCAGCAGGCGTCAGAGGCGGACGCTACCGCCACGACCTTCCTTGCAAGCGGTAACTTTAGGGCGGCCGGGACTCACTGGGAAGTGGAACCTACCCCTCTCCTTCCTTAGGACGTTGTTGTCTGTACCCCCAGGTCGGCGCGCCCACTGGGTCAGGCCAGAGCGGCAAAGACACACCGTTTTGGGTTGCAGGCTGATTGGCGCTAGGAACGCCCAAGCCGGGTCCTTTAGCTCCTGAGCCGGTCTGGGCCGACAGGGTGCCTCCGAGCTTGGGCCTGTTGGTGGGTGAGACCCACTGGAGAGGTGGACAGAGAACTTCGCTGACTGAACTTGACTCTTTGCCTCCAGAGCATCAGCATATCCGCTACAACCCGCTACAGGATGAGTGGGTGCTGGTGTCAGCTCACCGCATGAAGCGGCCCTGGCAGGGGCAAGTTGAGCCTTCCCTTCTGAAGACAGTCCCCCGTCACGACCCCCACAACCCTCTGTGTCCTGGGGCCACACGAGCCAATGGGGAGGTAAGTCTTTAGAGTCTGCATCTGCAGGCTGGACCAGGGGAAGTAGCTCCCACTTAGAGCTGCCCCTCACCCAGAGGGTAGCGGACCTCCTTCTGGATCATATCTCATTAAGTCTTTTTGACCCCAGAGTGGGTCCTTCCTCACCCTCTTGTAGCCTGTCCAGCCATTGAAGCCCACCAGATGACTGGTGGTATGGGGCAGCGAATGCTTCTAGCCTATCCTCGTCTGTAGGTGAATCCCAACTATGACGGCACTTTCCTGTTTGACAACGACTTCCCAGCTCTGCAGCCTGATGCCCCCAATCCAGGTAACCTGGTTCTAGTTGCTGTTGTGGGGAAGGGAGGCTGGACCTCGTGTGTGGACTTATATTGCAGAGAGTGATATCCCTTTATCTCAGGACCCAGTGATCACCCTCTTTTCCAAGCAGAGGCTGCTCAAGGTGTTTGGTAACTATGGATTTCCTCTCATAACTTTCAACCTGGGGCCTAGTCTGAGCACTGGGATTGGGCCCTGCCCCTAGCACATCCAAGCCCTATATTTCTGTCATTCCTCCCTCCCTCCGTACTTAGTAAGGTCTTGTGCTTCCACCCCTGGTCGGATGTGACACTGCCACTCATGTCAGTCTCTGAGATCCGTGCTGTCATCGACGTGTGGGCCTCAGTCATAGAGGAGCTGGGTGCCCGTTACCCTTGGGTACAGGTCTGTGAAGTTACCCCCTCCCATGGATGAACAGGGAGGGGGTGGTGCAACTTTGGTTCAGAAAATTGGCATTCCTGTTTCCACAGGGTGTGGTTTGGAATGGTTGATTTGGTATCTTTTAGGCTACTGAAACTTCCTACCTCCCTATCTGATAGATTTTTGAAAACAAAGGAGCCATGATGGGCTGTTCCAACCCCCACCCTCACTGCCAGGTAGGTGTGTTAGAGGCTCCAGTGCATTTCTAGGCTGAGTGTAAGCCAGCACTGTGGGGAGGGGAACTGGAGTAAAAGATGGGACAGAAGGAGTATGCTAGTGATATGGAGGCTTGGGGGTGAAGGATCTGCATTATTTTCTCTCTTCCTACTCTTTGACAGGTGTGGGCCAGCAGTTTCCTGCCAAATATTGCCCAGCGTGAGGAGCAGTCTCAGCGGGCCTATCAAAGTCAGCATGGAGAGCCTCTGTTAATGGAGTATGGCCGCCAGGAGCTGCTCAGGAAGGTGGGAGAAAGTTAGGCCCTGTCCTCAAGGAGTCTCTAATCTCACCCCAAAAGAGAGAGGTGTGTGAAGAAGAAGGGTAGAAGGCAAGTAGAAAGAGAGACTTGTCAGGAGGCCATAGCAGTAATCTAAAGGAAAGGTGATAGTGACTTAGACTAGGGTAATAATGGTGAAAGTGGTGAGAAGCCATAAGATTATAGGTATATTTTTTCTTCTGCTTCCCTTACTTATTTGCTGACCATCAACACCTGCCTTGATGACCTCATCTCCATTTGGTTTGCTCAGGAACGTCTGGTTCTAACCAGTGAGCACTGGTTAGTGCTGGTCCCCTTCTGGGCAGTGTGGCCTTTCCAAACACTGCTGTTGCCCCGCCGGCATGTGCGACGGATGCCTGAGCTGACCCTCGCTGAGCGTGATGGTGAGTCTTCCAGCTGGAACATTGGGGCCAGTCTCTGGATGGGGGTTGCTCTGGTAGGGCCAACATCTAGGCCCCAGGCTGAGAGTCAGGCTTTGATTCCAGATCTAGCCTTGATCATGAAGAAGCTCTTGACTAAGTACGACAACCTATTTGAGACATCCTTTCCCTACACCATGGGCTGGCACGGTGAGGCTTTTTTGAGCATCCATATATAGCCCCAACATCATTTGTGAGCTCCTGTGGCCCAACCCAGTGGAGTGCAACCCCTAATAGGCCTCTGAACGCTTGCTGGGGGAAGTGTCCAGATCAGGGCTGCTAGGACTGAGGGTGGAGCAAGGACTTGGTGAAAATATGTCCCAGTGTGCCATCCAATGCTTGGTCTGCTCTCTGGCAGAGAATGCTGGGAAATGTAGTTTTCAGCTACCTAGCCTGGTTGGGGGTGGTTGGTTGGGGCTAGGCTGTAGAACTAAAGAAGGGCCCTCTCCAGCCGTGTCTGCCTTCTTCCTGTCAGGGGCTCCCACAGGATCAGAGGCTGGAGCCAACTGGGACCACTGGCAGCTGCATGCTCATTACTACCCTCCACTCCTGCGCTCTGCCACTGTTCGGAAATTCATGGTTGGCTACGAAATGCTTGCCCAGGCTCAGAGAGACCTCACCCCTGAGCAGGTCAAGACTCAGAGCGTCCTAGGTCCTCTTTACTCTCCCATTTCCTCAAAAGCCCAACAATCATGACCCCGAGAACCCCCATAACTCAGGCATTCCAAAGGACTCAGGAGCTGCTCAACTTCTTCATCCTCAGTCCTTATCACCAGCTTCCTGGTCCCACGAGCCCTCCCTCAGTGTCTCCCAGGCACTCAGAACTCCACACCACCATTGCAGGCAGCTCTTACTGTCTCTCTTTCTCTTTCAGGCTGCGGAGAGACTAAGAGCACTTCCTGAGGTTCATTACTGCCTGACACAGAAGGATAGGGAGACAGCAGCTATCGCCTGACCATGCTGACCTCAGGGACTTCTGCCTGAGAGAACCAGGGGTTAGGGTTTGGGCAGAAATGGGATCAATAAATCCATGCTTCTCAAACTTTAATCACATATTCTAATGCTAGAGGAGTATGAATTCTAACCCTCGAGAGTCTGGGGTTAAAGGCGGAAGGCATAGCTCCAGCCACAACTTTTCTTTGCCTACAGATGTGCAAATACTTAAGGATAAAAATATTCCTCTCTAAATCTCTGAACAAAATTAATACTCAGTGTTATGTCTTGTCTCTTACTCCTGGGGTAACAGAAGCATCCCAATTTAAGAAAATGGTTAAAAATCCTGTGTACTTGTCTGTGGCTGAGGCTTTGGAGAATACCAGAGGCCCCTTCACCACCACCCCTAGGGTGTCAGCTCACCAATCCTGGGCCTGAAGTTTTGGTGGGGAGCGGGTGAACAGGATCCTGGTCCCAGTGGTCAGTGGCTAGACCGTGGGCTGCAGGCCAGAACCCTGGCTTTGTGAGTGGCTACAGCTTGGCTCTGCTCCAGCCCACAGGGGCTGAAGGGGCGGGTAGGGAACTTGTACATGGCTTTGTGAGTCTCCAGACTCCCATGTGCAGCCTATATGTGCAGATTCCACACATCTCTGTTGCCTCTGTGCCTCAGTCATTGCACAGGGCCAAAAACGGCTCTGGCAGAAAAGGGCCTGCCAGTGTTAGGAGCCCCAGGGCCTGGAAGGATGGGATGTTTTTTGGAGTGACCCCAGGTCTACCCCCACCCCTCTGGACCTGTTTCCTTGGTAAGACTATAACTGTGGGAATAACAGGCCATGCAACTCAGGAGACCTCATGTCCTCCAAACTTTTAGGTGAGCACAGGCCTTGTGAACAATGCAAGGATGGCCAGAATGCTATTTGTTTCTATTCTTCTCTTAAGGGAATTGAGTCTCTGGGAGGGGAAATGGTGCCAAGGCCAGACAGTGGTGACCTGGCCCAAGAGAACCTTGGCTGCCTGCCTTCCAGTCTAGGGTTCTTTCTTTCTTGAGACCCTGAAGGAGAAGGGTCTGGGACTTGGGGTGTTGCCTTGGTCTGGAAGGACCTAAGACAGTCATGCTAAGCATCTTCCTTAAGCCCCCAGTGACTGGAGAGTGGATGAGAACCCTGTTTCTTACACACACACACACACACACACCACTCGCCTAAACCTACACCTCTGGTCTGCATTTTGGGATCATCTGGGGAGTTTTAAACAATACTGATGCCTAGGTCCAGTCTCCAGAGCTTCTGATTTAATTGGTTTGGAGTGTGGCTTACAGTTTTAAAACCACAATGTCCAGTAAAATTTGAGAACCACTGCTTTGCATCATTCTTATCTGGAGTCAGGGGCACCTTCGGCGTGTCCAGTCACCTGTCCAGTGGCCCCTGAGCCACTGAACTTAAGGCTTTGTTTGTGCACAGTAGGTAGGGGGAGGGGCCTGAAAAATTCCAATCCTGCTGTTCCAGGAGGACAGGCCTTTAGGCAAGGACCCAGGAATCCAGCCCCGGGCTCTGTCCCCTAGCAACCTCAGCCCCGGATGGGACAGGAAGTGTCCGGCAGAGGTGGGGGAGGAGGTGATTGGCAGTTGGAGGCTCCAATGGGCCGAAACCCCCCTGTTTCACCCCTCTCTTTCCATTGGTGCCTGGGCGGAGCCACCCCCACAGCGGGGCCCCAGAGCTAGAGGGAGTCGAGGCCGGGGCAGAGGGCGAGGGCGGAGGGCGCTGGCGGCGGAGGCCGCGGAAGGTGAGGCCTGGTGGGGCCGGTGGGTGTGCACAAGGAAGCCTTGCCAGCAGAGGGCCGGGCAGGGTGGTGTGAGATGAAGGGCTCAGTGACTGACGGACTGTCAGTGTGTGTGAGGCTGTGTGTGATGTCTATGTGAGGCTCCACAACTATGTCACTTGTTGCAACTATCTGCTAATGTGACTAAGTGTGTCATTGTGCATGCGTCTGTGCAAGGGATTAGGCGTGTATCTGTTAATGTGTAGTTTTTGGTGAGGGACTGGGTCATGTGTTTTTGCGGGAGAGGACCTGTGACCACATCAGGGAATGTGTTTTGGGAAGGTTCTTTGGGGTTTAAGATCGTTTTTTGCCAGTGTGAGAGTGGGTGGCTGGGTATGTGTAAATCAGTGTGTGACTTCAGGAGTAGTAGATTAAGAGTGACTCTTGTACTATGTGTGTGTCTTGTGTCCTAAGTGTTAGACTGTGTGAGAGTAGAGCTGTGTTTATATCTGGGGGACCCACTTCAATAGCCAATGGGGCTGACCTTTGTACTGAGTGTCCAGCATAGAACCATTCCCAACACACTTGGCTTCCCCTCCTTTCTGCACTCTAGAATCCTTTTTGCTGGTGTACTGCTTATTTTCTGTTTCTGTATCTGACTCACTTTCCTTGTATTTCTTTAAAAAATTTTTTTTTATTTATTTATTGATTTTAGAGAGAGAGGAAGGGAGAGGGAGAGAGGTGGAAACATCGATGAGAGAGAACATCAATTGGCCTCCTCCTGCATGCCCCCTACTGGGGATTGGGCCCACAACCTGGGCAAGTGCCCTGACCGGGAATCCAACCGTCAATCTCAAGAGGTCGACGCTCAGCCACTGAGCCACACTGGCTGTGCTCCTTGTATTTCTTTTTCTCTCCCTGCCACTTCTTCCTAGAACTGTGGCTCTCTATGGCTCATCACAGTTTTGTCTCCCCAGGTATCTTCACATCTGTTTTTCACTTACGTCTCTCAGGTTCTTTGCATCTCTGTCTCTCTCTGTACAGCTACGCCTTACTCTCTTGTTCACCTTTGTCTCTTTGATTACCTGTAACAGTGATGAGATGTGGGATCTGCCATGATAAGAGCTCCCTGGAAGATGAGGCTTAAACCATGATGAGAAGTTGCTTTTAGGAAGTGCTATGACCCCATCCCAGAGGTGGAGTGCTAAGTGTGTGTGTGTGACTGTGGGAGGAAGAGTAAGATGTGTGTCTGTGTGCCTGTGAGTTTACACAGTATGTGTAAATGTGTCTGAGTTCGAGGAGGATATCTGAGTATATTGGTGTGATTGTTAGTGGCTGTATCTGAGACTGTGTGTCTGAGGGTAAGTGTGGGTCTTGTGTATCTGGCACCAAGGGACCAAAGGCATTTCCTGGTGCTGAGGCCCAAAGAGTGGAGGGGAAGGTGAGAAATGGCTGGAACATCCAGGGGAGGGAAAACTGGGACTTTGGTTTTTCTTTATATCCCCCCAACCTAGGGCCTCCCTTCCCCTCCAACACAGCCAGCTGTGCTCTAAGGAAATCTTTGCTGGGGAGTGAAAAGAGTGGGAGCCCAAGTATGTATCTGATTTTTCATTTGATTGTGTCCATGTTTGTTCAAGGAAAATATCTTTTTGTTGACTGTGCCTAGTGAGTCCATGTGTGAATGTGGCTGTGTTTGGCTGTGTAAAAACACAGGGAATCTATCACTGATAGGGACATAAGCAGCCTCCATCTCCCTCTTGCTGGCCCTCGCTGCGCCTGTGGCTTCCTTTCCAGACTGGGGGGAGGCCTCTTCCCTTCCCAAGGCCTGGGGTGGGAGGAGGGTGGGAAGGGAGGAGGGAGGGAAAAAGGGGAGGAAGAAGGAGGGGGAGGGGGCTTGGCTATGAGTGGCTGAGCTCCAGGGCTCATAGGGGTGTGGGCAGGGAAGGGGGAGGAGGGGATGATTCTGGGGTCTCAGAACTGTGAAGCTCAGACGGGTGCTGTAGCTGGTGGGAGGAAGTCTTGGAGGCCATGGACACTTAGCTACTGGGATCACCGAGGTAGGGCGGGGCTGAGCAGGGTAAATGTGGCTGGGGGGCCAGGGGTGAGCCACTAGACACTCAGACAGACACTCAGACACGTGGAGGTCCCTGTTCTGTTCTACGAGGGAGGGGTCTGTACTCATCCTCTTCTGAAGCTTTTGCCCATGGCCCTTTCCCATCTGCTTCTTCTCCTGTCCCCATGGCCGCTTCCCCATTGCCTTCCTTCTCCTGCTTTCCCCCATCCAGAATCTCTCTCTTAGCCCTCTCCAAACCCCATACACACATAGTTGGCTACTTCCTCTGCCTTCCTGAGTTCCTGCTGCCCCAGCTCAGCCGTCACCTCACTGAGCCCCCACCACCTCCCAGTCTTGATCTCTGAGTATCCCCTGGTCCTGTGGATCCCACCCCAGGCCCCTGTCCCTGCAGGCTCCCAGCTCCTCTCAGCCTCCTCTCCCTTTCCCGCCACCCTGTCTCCATCTGCTGGCTCTTTGCCTGCCCCCAGCCTCTGGCAGCAGCCAGGGCATCTGGATCTGCTTAACTCTACAGCCTGAGCCTGCACCCTAGCCCCATCCAGCCTCATAGGCTTGAGACCAACAAGACTCCAGAGTCGGCCCAGATGAGTGGCCCAAGGAGCCAGAGCAAGAGGCCAGGCAGGCCCAGGCGAGAAGAGGCTTGGCAGCCAGAGCAGGGCTAGGCCCCATGGCAGGGATACAGGAAGGGCTTAGACCCACCGTGAGAGCTTCAGGGTGATGAAAGCTCCCTCAGGTCAGTCAGAGGCAGTGATTAGCCCTGGGCCAGGTGGACACCAGGATTCCCAACAGCTGGATTGGAGGAGTTAATAAGAATGACTGAGCCGGTGCTGGCATTTGGTGCCAGGGGTGGGTGCCAAGGGTGGTGCAGGGGGGTGGTGCTGGCACAGTCTGTTGCCTCCAGCTTTTGTTCTGGGCCCTAAGCCCAGGACTGAGATGGAGAGTGTGAGGGTGTGTGTGTGCATGTGTGCGCATGTGCATGTGTGTGTGTGTGTGTGTGTATGTGTGTGCATGCATGCACACACAGCACAAGTGTGTAGTGGAAAGGGGGAACTTAGATCAGATCACCCAGTGATTTCTGATATTCTTACCCTGCTTGGTACCTCAGTTTTCCTCCTAGGAAGCCCTAGTTTAGAAAAGGAGGAGGCAGGCTTTAGCCTCTTATCTTGGGAATGGGGGATTGCTGAAACTGCCTCTCTCCACACAGATGAGCAGCAGCTGCTCAGGGCTGAGCAGGTTCTTGGTTGCCCTGGCTATAGCCCTGGTGTCTGCCTCCTCCTCCTGCCCCCAGGCCTGGGGCCCCCCAGGTGAGAACCCTGCTGTATGAACCCAACTCTGACTTATGACTTGCCACCCTCGCTGTGGTCCTCACCCCAACCTGTGACTCCCCCAAATCCTGACATTCAGCCTGACAACATCTACTCTCTACCCTGTCCTCTGACCTCTGTCTCCATATTATAACATGATACTCTGACCCAGTGAAACTACCCCAGGCTTAAAAATCTATTCCTTACCCCGTCACTCTCACAAAGTAGGGGGTTTGGGGAGAGGGAAAGGAAGAGCCTCTCCTCAGAAGTGCCTTCCACAGGGGTCCAATATGGGCAGCCTGGAAGATCCGTGACGCTGTGTTGCCCCGGAGTGACTGCTGGGTAAGTGCCCTACCTGCCTGTTAGGGTGACACTCCTGACCTTTTCTTGACCCTGTCCAGTCCTCATGCCCCTACCACCCCTGTGTCTGTAATCTTCACCTCTGTATCTGTCCTAATCTTCAAACCATCCTTATTCAACAGAAAATTTCAATCAACATATATTGAGCACCTGCTAAGTGCCTGGTCTATTCTAGGTCCTGGGATACAGCAGTGCACAAGCCAGGCAAGATGTCACCTCTTATAGAGCTTACATCCTAGTGGGGCAGACAGACAATAAGCAAATAAGAATCTTGCCAGGTAGTAATACCTGCAGGGCAGAAAATCAAAAGAGAGTGCCCTGGAAGAGGGTAACTGAGTAGTTTCTTTTTATTGGTAGTCAGGAAAGGCCTCTCTGAGGAAGCAACATTGAAGCTGATTTGTGAAGGTCCGGAAGGAGGTGACTAGGCACAAAATGAGGTAGAAGCATTTCTGACAAAGGCCAGTGCAAATACCCTGAGGTGGGAATGAGCTCAACTCTTAAACAGAAAAAAGACTAACTGGACAGGATGGGAGTGTAGTAAGTGAGTGGGGAAAGGGAGGAGCTGAAGAAGGAATGGAAAGCAAGGGCTAAATCATCAGGGGCTTTGCAAGTGTAGTGAGAAGCCAGTGGAGAGCTGTGGCATGGTCTGACTTACATTTTAAACCTTCCCTCTATCTATCATCACTCTGTCTCACTCACAGGACTCTCGTGTCCTGGTTTCGGGATGGGGAGACAAGGCTGCTCCAGGGACCTGACTCTGGGCTAGGGCATGAACTGGTCCTAGCCCGGGCAGACAACGCTGACGAGGGTACCTACATCTGTCGGACCCTGGATGGTGCACTTGGGGGCATGGTGAACCTGAAGCTGGGCTGTGAGTTGGGAAGGGAGTATTGGGTGGCAGTGATGAAACATGATTCCTGAGGGAATCATGGTCCTTAGTAAGCCCTCTGAGATTGGAAGAATGGGGACTTCTCATTCTCCAGCTGCGTCCTCTGCCTCTAGACCCGCCATCTCGCCCTGTTGTCTCCTGCCAAGCAGCTGACTATGAGAACTTCTCCTGCACTTGGAGTCCCAGCCAGGTCAGCGGTTTACCCACCCGCTACCTTACTTCCTACAGGTGTGTGCATGATGGGGTGTGTTGGTCTATACATTTGGGTGTGCCAGCACAATGTGGGTGTGGGAGGCTGGGACGGAGGTCCTGAGGAAGGCCTTAGAGAGAGGGAGGACCCTATTTTCCTTCCTGACCTCAGATGTCCCCCTCCCTGCCAGGAAGAAGACAGTGCCAGGAGCTGATGGCCAGAGGTAGGACATGAGGGAGAGGCTGGGGGCTCTAGCTGGATCCCACAATGAGCATTTCCAAAGCCCAAGACCACTTCCTCTCTCCTAGAATGAGTCCATCTACAGGGCCCTGGCCATGCCCACAAGAACCCCCAGGGGCTTCCCGCTGTGTAGTCCATGGGGCAGAGTTCTGGAGCCAGTACCGGATCAATGTGACTGAGGTGAACCCCCTGGGGGCCAGCACACGCCTGCTGGATGTGAGCTTGCAGAGCATCTGTGAGTACCCAACCCTAGAGTTCCTCTAGATCCCTACCACAGAGACTCTGAACAGACTCCAGAGTGCAGATATCCCAACCCAGAACTCCCCAGAGCTTCCAAACAGTTTTCTCCTAACATAGATCCCTGTTTCAGCACACAGATGGCCCCCCTGGAGACTAAGAAGCCAAAGAGATCAGAGCTCAGTAGGCGGGGTTACCTCAGCCTCTAGAGGCTATTGCCTCTACCCCCTCCCCACAGTCCTTCCTGGCTGCCTAGCCCCAGAGCTGCCTGTCTGCTTCTAGGCCCTGAGCTGAAGGCAGCCATATCGCAAGTGTTCCCTGTCCAATGGAAGCTCTTCCTGGTCCCTCCTTCCTCTTGATCTGTGCGTGGGTTTGGGGCACTAAAACTCTGGTTGGAATTTGGGCTAACTCATCTTCTCCCTTGGATGGAAAGTAGAATCACTCTTTAATCCACTCAACACAGCTTTCAAAACCTGTCCCCAGATCTCAGCTCATTTTATAATAAGGATGACAGACAGTTCCTGAGCCTAATGGATGATCAAGCTTAAGATTTCCCTAAGCCCTTGGAACTTCCTTCCTCGGGTACCTTTAGGCACACACCCACCTTCCCTTAAGAGGTGGTGGGTAAGGGATGGGTACCTGTTGCCTGCCCTGACTTTGTGTCTCCACAACCCTCAGTGCGTCCTGACCCACCCCAGGGGCTGCAGGTAGAGTCAGTACCTGGCTACCCCCGCCGCCTGCGTGCCAGTTGGATGTACCCTGCCTCTTGGCCCCGCCAGCCCCACTTCCTGCTCAAGTTTCGGCTGCAGTACCGTCCAGTACAGCATCCTGCATGGTCCATGGTGAGGCCTGGAGTGTGCCCCAATTTGGGGCTGTGGGTCCTGTCTCCGGTTTCATGTTCCTAGGTGTTCTTCATGGATTTCTAGCACTGGCAGGTCATGGAAGCCTTTTTGCCTCCCCATAGATAGGGCTTTCCATGGGCCAGGCTTTGTGCTGGATGCTGGGGTTGTAGCAGGCATCAACAAATCAAGCTTCTATCCTATGGGGCTGTAACTCTGATGTAAGCCTGTCTGTGGGAAGACAGCAATGGCTTTTTAAAAATAACTTTTCTGGGAAAAGAAGTGTTGTGCTTGCTTCGACAGCACGTATACTAAAATTGGAAGTGTCTTTCAAACAGAGGCACATCCTCATATACCCAGATACAAAACACTCATATACCCAGGTAAAGATGGTTGTGAATTCCCACTTCTGGAGATGTCAAAGATTGACTGCATTGTGTCTGGGGAGTGGTTTCTTCAGATGATAACCAATATTCATTGAGTGCTGTCTGCTTACCAGGCAGCATGCATTTTGTACATGCATTATCTCATTTAGATGTTTTCACCTCTATTTTACAACTGAGGCACAAAGAGGCCCAAGGTTACCCAGTAAGATCTGAACCCAAGCACTCTGGCAGCACAGCCTGTCTATATAACCACTATGCATGTTTGTCTTCCAAACACTGTGTGTAGACCTGACACCACCAGCCACTCTGTCTGAGACTCAGATGGCTCTACTAGGCTGACAGGGACAGGACAGGGAGGAAGGGGTGCTCTTCGCAGACTGGGACTGGGGGACAGGTAGGTTCACACTTACAACCTGGATAACTTGGTGATGAACCATCTTCACTGCCAGGTGGAGCCAGCTGGGTTGGAGGAGGTGATCACAGACGCGGTGGCTGGGCTACCCCATGCTGTACGGGTCAGTGCCCGGGACTTTCTGGATGCTGGCACCTGGAGTGCCTGGAGCCTCGAGGCCTGGGGGACTCCAAGTACTGGTGAGAAACAGAGCCAAGGGAAAGGGCAGAGGCCCTGTCCCTCAGCGTCTGTCAGCTGGACAGGTTGACATGAACAGGGATGGGTGGTACATGCCTTGGCCACACAGGCATGGCAATTGTTGTTCCAGGCTTCAGCCTCGGATGCCTATAGCCCTGTCCTAGCTTAAGCCCTGCCCCTCAGCCTCCACACCTGCTACATCCCTCAAAACTGGCTCTGCCTTTTTAGGCTCCACTTCCTAGGCACCCCTGTGTCCAAGCTGGGCCCTGGCTTCACCTGGCAGGCCCTGGCCCTTATCCCACATGGACAATTCTCAGGTCTTGCCTCTCTTCAGGGTCCCTACCAAAGGAGACACCAGCTGGGGGTCAGCCACACATGCATCTGGAGGAGGAGCTTCAGGCAGACAGCCCTGCTTCCCCAAGGCCCTCTCTCCTTCCAGACCTACAGCCACTTGGTGAGCTGGGGTAGATGGGCAAAGGTGGTAGAGGATGGGGAAGTTCCAGAGAGAAAGGGGTACTGAGTTTGGTCAGACTCACTCTCACAGTGGCATGTGACTACCCCCCACCCCAGTCCACAGGGACCCCCTGGAGCAGGTGGCTGTGCTAGCATCTTTGGGAATCTTCTCTTTCCTGGGACTGGCAGCTGGGGCCCTGGCACTGGGGCTCTGGTAAGTGACTATCATTGGTGCCTTCATCTCTGATCCCACTCAGATGCTCTGATACTCATAGATTATACCCTTTCCCACCCCTAATGACTTCCCACTGAACATATCTGATTCTGGAATTACTTTCCCTCAACTGCATGATTCTCACTAATTCCTCTCCTGACCCCTTACTAATAAACCCTTTTGAAGGAGACTGAGATGCCCCACATTGTCAGGAAAACATCTGCCTTTTTATGCTCCAGGCTGAGGCTGAGACCAGATGGGAAGGATAGACCCCAAAAGCCTGGGTTCTTGCCCCAATGATTACAGTGGACAAGCTTCCAGGTGAGTAGGATCTCCATGAGGTTTGGATTTAGAGATGTGTGCCCTCATTTTAGGTGTCTGGATTAAGAACCAAAGGCGCCCCCCCCCCCCCCCCCCAATCATCATAAGGGTATTGGGAATCAGAGTTGGGTCTCCTCATTTTTATGTCTGGACTCAGGGATGGGCCTTTCATTCTTGAGTCCCTGGACTCAGAGTTGGGTCCCTTCCCTCTCCTGCAGGGTATTGGGGCTCCTGGATTGACTCCATTTTCATTTTTCATGTGTTAAGCTCAGAGCTGGATATCTAGCTTTATTCTTGGATCAGAGATGGGTATCTCCCTCTCTTATTCTTGATGTGCCTGGACCCAGAACTAGGTCCTCTCCCTTCAGGGAGTTCATTCAGAGCTGGGCTACCCTATTCATTTGTGGTGTTAAGCTCAGAGCTGTGTCTCCTCCCTCATACTCAGGGTGTGGGCCAATATCTAATTCTATTGTCTCCCTTGATTTGCCTTCTACTTTTTTTTAGGAGCCCCAAACCTGTAGAGACCCAGGAAGACTTCAGCTGATTCCACCTATAACTCTGTCTTGCTGGTTTGGATGGACGGATAGAACCCAGGCAGTACAGTGGATCCTCATGGGGGGAGATGTTTCAGCTGAAGTTTTGTTTGGAGCCCATTTCTATGAGACTGTATTCCAGACTTGTCAGATGAAAGGTGCCTGGACCTCTGATTTTATCCCAGAGCTAGAGATCCAACAGTGGAATATTTGTAAATGTGTGTATCTGTGTCCATGTGTGCCCATGTGTATGTGAGGTAGGGAACGTGTGTTCTCTGCATGTATGTATGTAGGTACCTGGGGAGTGTGTGTGGGTCTTGGCTCTTAGCCTTGCCCCTGGTGGGGGTTGTAAAGGTGTGAATAAAGAGAATGAGGAGATTTTCCTGTTTCTTGACATGTCTCCCAGCTTTAGATTTAGGACTAACAGGAGAATGCATAGAACTTGGAGACCACAACCAGAGACTGTTGTTGAATACCGATTTATTATTTTGGCTTTTGGGGGTCCTGGCCCATTTTCTCTATCAGCTCAAAATTCAGGTTGGGCAGAGTCCCCTGGAGCCTCCTCCCTTGGCGCTCAAACCACCGAGCCAGGCTGTGGTTCTGGGGGTAGGTGCAGATGTTTTGTCGAGACAGGTGAAGACTGGGATAGGAAAGGTCCAAAGCCATGATCATAGTTTAGAGATTAGGTTAGGGACTAAGGTCAGAGTCAGGGATCAATATCAGGGGCAGGGGCAGGGGCAGAGCTCACCTGAAAGCCTTGAGGTGACAGTCCTCATCAGCCTCCTGCAGTTCCACTCAGGTGACCTTTCTCAGTAGCTTTTTTGAGAGTGGCTGTTAGTAGAGCTGAGTATAGCAGGTAGTGCTGGGTGACAGTAGCACTGCTAAGGAGTAATGGGGCCACATGTTCAGAGAGCTCCTGACACCCAAACCCTCAGACAGCTGGAAGCTGGACTTTCTGGTCTCCTTTTCGCTCCATCCCATTCACCCAGATCCCTGGCCTTCTAGACTCCCAAGCACTCACCTGCTCCAGGGTCTGGGATCAGAAACAACAGTAACAGTAGGAGGCTGATGGTGGGTGAGGGCCCCTTCATGCTGTTCTGCCTGGATAATTCTTTTTCCTCTTTCTCCCCTACCTTTTATGGGGGTGCCTTTTACCAGGGGCACCAGGTGAGTCAGAGGCAGGTGAAGATATATTGTTCATCCTGTGACACTCCTGGGCCCTAGTTGCCACAGATCCCTGTGCCAGAGACCCCGGCCTCTTTTAGGACAGCCATTTCCCATGAGCTCCTAAGCCCTGGGCAGAGAAACTGGGAAGAGGGGTAGTTCATGATGTGGAGACTGAAGGCACAGTGACTGAATAAAGGCAGCCAAGAATCCTCAGTGTCATCCAATGATGGACATTCATATTCATATACCCACAGCTACACATTTCACAGTCACACCTCAATCACTTGATCAACCTCATATGGTCAGACAACCATAGACAGAATCATACAGCCCCAGTTATACTCAAAGTTCCATTCTCACACAGTTGTTTTCACAATATTCCAATTGTACTAGCACACACAAAATCTGATAGGTAGGGTATTGTGGGAAGGGTGGAGCAGAGGGCAAGACAGCACCAGTTTGCCTTCATTTCCCCCTCCCCACTTCCTGCTCTAGCCTGTCTTATGAGGAGGAATTGATGGGAATGGGTCTCTAATGCAGGCACTCTGGCTGAGGCAGGATCTTGGCTGGGGCTAGTCACATTCAGAGACGCTGGGGAAGGCCCTTTTTGGTGGTATTGGGGGTACCTTGGAGATGCCGAGGTGGCTTTTCCTAGGAAGATGAGACAGGGAGGATGGAGGGCAGATGAAGGAATATAAAAGTTCTTTGGTGCCAGGTTGCTGCTATCAAACAGGTAAAAGAACCAAGAAATATTATTATTATTATTATTATTTTAATTCTCACCTGAGTATCTTTTTCCATTTATGCTTAGATAGAGTGGAAGGGGTTGGGGGAGGAGAGAGAGAAACATTGATGTGATAGAGCCACATTGATAGGTGCGTGCCCTTGGCTGGAATCAAACCTGTGACTCTTTGGTCCGCGTGCCTATGCTCTAACCATTGAGCAAACTGGCTAGGGCAGAACCAAGAAATCTTATGTTTTTGCCTAATCCTGTCCCAGGATTGCCAGCCTCTTGCCAAAAGGGGACTCAGTCCCTCACTTATTGAGACAGCAGACTCAAGCTCAATTACTTCTCTTTTGTTCTATTAAAATTCCAGCTTCTCTCCACTGTGGGCCTGGAAAAACATTCCCCTTCCCCACCCAGGCCCAGTAATACCCATGAACAACCCCTGTATTCTCTGCATCCCATCTTGCTATAGCCCCAACCTCTCATCTACTTCCTGTCTCTTCTCTCCTAATCCCATACCCAGCCCTCACTCCCCTCTTCCTCTCACCCCTCATGCAAAACTCCTCCTCCTATCTTTTTCAGGAAGCTGGGAACTACCTAGGGTGGGGGCAAGCTGCTCAATTTAGTGCCCCTGGCACCTTGAAAAATGTCCCTCTCCTGGTCTATGGATTTCAACCCTCAAGTCCTGCTCTGTTTTTGAAATATAAACTGATTCTTAACACAGAAATCAAGTCCTTATCTGTTTGTTGCAGGAGTGCCTTCTGCAGCCTTTCCCACTATTCTACCTTCTATGCCGCAGAAATTCTCTTGGGATAGGGACTCACACCTTTGCTGGGCATCTTGTTCTGCTGCAGGACTGCTGCAACAATCAGGAGGGACCATCAGCTCCAAGAGTAGAAACTAGTCCCCCTCTCAGGCCAAACAACTGGAGCTTCTCCCTCCTGTCCGGGCTGAAACTTGAAGGCCCTTCCCTGGAATTTTATTTGTGGATACTCTGCAATTCTGACAGTTTACTGGTGAGGTATAGGTCCAGGGATGGATAGGGTAGTCTACTTTTAATAGGGTTCTTGATGTAGACATTGTGATAAAGTGGCTCAACACCCTGGGTCCATTTTTTAATGTGGCCACAACCTAGAGATATCTTGAACTTCTAATACCAGAGGCCGTAGGGTCTCTCTCCCACTCTCCAGTCTGGACTTGTGCCCCTGAGCTTGGGTGCAGCAACCGAGGCACCATCGTCTTGTCACAGCTCTCCATCAGCTGTCTGTCTGTGATACACTTTGTCGTCTCTCCTGGACCAGTCAGTCCAGAGACCTGAGAAGGCAAGAAATGAATTCTAGGTATGCACCAATCTCTCTCCCCTTTGGCTTCTCCAAAGATAGGATCAAGTCTCTTCAGCCATCTGCTGTGGCAGGGGCAGCCCCATGCTGAAAGTTAGCTTTGCCCCCAACCCACAAACTGGGCTGTCTTTTTATCCGAATCCTTTGGTGCCCTTTCTGGTGCTGCAGCCAGTCCATAACTGAAAGTAGGCCCACTGAAGCCCCTGACCCTCAGCACTTTGGGAGATAGTGGGTCAACTGGGTGACGAGACAGAAAGAGATGACAGAGAACAGTGGTCCTTAGGTTCTTCTAGGGAGGTTGCAAGAACTGCTAGGTGGGTTGATGCCAAATGTCTTTAAACTTGGGATCAGACTGGAGGAACTGAAAATTGGGGTATTTATAGAGAAAGACCTACAACAGTCCCAAGTCACTCCATTGTGGCAGGCTGAGGGAAGCAGCTTCTAGGACTCCTCCCCTTCTCTCACAGCCTACTTCCACAACTCTGGGCTTAAGATATTTAAGATTCACTCCCCCCAGGAAAAGAAGATCCTGGCAAAGTCTTGACTAGAAGGTACCTGGTAGTAGGGAGCTGAGTTTGTGAGAACACATGAATGTGGGAATAAAGTTGCGAGGAAGACCAACCCAGGACTATTTAGTTCCCTCCATATAGGTTACTCACAGTGATGAGTGTGTATGTGTGTGTGTGTTGGGGGGGCGGGGGGGGGGGAGTCGGGTGTAGGGGGTGAAGGGCAGTCACTGATAGTAAAGAGGGCCTGACGCCGATGAGGGGTCCTTAGATATAAGAGGAAATTGAACATGGAAGGGCACACTATTGAGAGGAGAGAGGCCCTGTCAGTTAAAGGACACAGCCAGCATGGAGAGGGGCTCCCAGCTCAAATGGCAGCAGCGGCGGCAGTCAGGAGGGGAGCACGGTGGCTTCAGTTTAAATCTTTAATGCACCGGCTGGCTGGGCAGTGGCGGCGGGTGTGCGGCGGGGGAGGCTGCGACCTGTACGCTGGGGAACAGGGCCCAGACCGCTTGACAGACAGCTCATCAGGCCCCGCAGAGGCTCCAGCTTCTGGTCCCGGGGGTGTGCCGAGCTGTGGGGTGACCCGACACTGGCATGAGGCTGGGCGGGGTCTCCCCGATTCCCCCCCAGATTCTTCCTCCAAGACAGCCTCGTCCATGCCCCTGGAGGGCCCGCGGTATCGCAGCCCCCTCACCTCCGCTCCCTCCTCCACATGCGCAGCCACGGGAAAAAGTAGAAGCAGCCCCAGTAGATCCTGCGGAGAGAAGGCAAAGCCGGGCAGGGCGGGGCTGACCCTACAGACTCGTCGGGTCACTCCAAAGCCCCGCCCCGCCCCTTGGAGGCGGTTCCCTTCACAGCCCACGCCCCTTTAGGGGCCCCACCCCTCCCGCTCCTCCTGCCCCCAGAGAACTCGCGCCATCCCCCCACCCCGGAGCGGTTGTTTCTCCTCCACAGAACCCCGCCTCCACTCACTCCTCCTCCGCCTCCAGCGCCACCTCGTATCTCCTCAATCCCGACATGTCTCGGGCTCCGAACGTCTCCTGGGGAGCAGAATGATTGGATCAAGGATTTCCCAACCCCCAGTCCCCTTCTCTGTCATTCTCAGGATGTCTGACTTGTTTTCAGGTAACCTGAGGCAGGTGCCCCGGGAAGACTCAACTGCCACATCGGGGTGGGATGGGATTGAAGATTTTGGAGGTACTAGACGTTATGGAATTAGGAGGTCACCGCAGAGGCCTAGGGCATTTAGTGGGTCAGGGTGAAAGGCATTGCGGTCATGAGGTCGGGGTATCTGGGGGCCCCGGGTGAGGATTTTCGGGGGCTAGGATCACCTGGAGGGGGGCTGAGGGGTCGGCGCAGCCTAAACTCCGCCCTCCCTGGCTCCACCCCGGAAATAGACCGTTACCTTACGTCACAGGGACTCCGTCGCGCACCAGGGGTGGGGCTTGCCTATTACCCGGAAGGGGCGGAGCTAGAACATTTCTTCAGAGGAGTTAAGAGTCAAAGTGTCACGAGGAGGCGAAGGACGGATGAAGTTGGGATTTATTACTTAGATGCGAGGCACTGGACTCTTTCAGAAGGATGGAGTCAGATTTTGGGGTTCTACCCTGGGAAATAGAGACCTCAATAATAGGCAGCAAGAAAAGAGCTTTGGGATGCTGTCCAGTGCTGTTTTTCCCCAATTCCTTCGTCTCCTCTCAATCTCCTTGGCTTCTGCCCTGACGATTGCCTTTCTTGTCTGCACCATTGTACTTGTATGACCCTGGGCTGAGGAAGAATAGGCCTCCAGAGAGGGTTCAGTCTAGACAGGTCAAACTCTGAAAATACTTCTTGGATGAGTGGCCTTGGTCAAGTCACTTAATGGCCAGTGGGTCACAGCCCTTGTATCTGAGCTGAGACCTACCTTCCTGTGATTTTTCATTCACAGTCATTCAGTCAACAAATATTTATTGAGTATCTGCTCGATGCAGGCACGGTGCTGGGAATGGGATACAACTGTAAAGAGGACAGGCACAGCCCTGGCCGTTATGGCTTGGTTGGAGTGTCCTGTACACCAAAAGGTGGCTGGTTTGATTCTCAGTCGGGACACCTACCCGGGTCGTGGGTTCGATCCCTGATCTGGCTTGTGCGGGAGGCAACTGATCAATGTTTCTCTCTCACATTGATGTTTCTCATTCTCTCCCTTCCTCTCTCTAAAATAAATTTTATTTATTTATTTATTTATTATTTTAAAATTCTCACCCGAGGATATTTTTCCAACTATTTTCAGATAAGAGTTGGAGGGAGGGGTAAAGAGAGAGAAAGAGAAACACTGATTTGAGAGAGACACATTGACTGGCCGCCTCCCACATGATCCTGACCAGGGCGAGGGACCAAACCACAGCTGAGGCACAGCCCTTGACCGGAATCGAACCCGCGACCAGAATCGGAAGCATCCACTGGCTGACGCTCTAACTGCTGAACCAAACGAGCCAGGGCTCTAAAATAAATTTTCAAAAAAGAAAAAAAAGACAGGCACAGTCTCCACCCTCGGAGAGCTTATCATCTGGGTTGGAGATGGGGGCATTAAAAGAGACAATCAGATAATTACAATAAACCTGGAAGACTTAGGAGCAGTAGAGGGTGCTGTGATAGAACCCAAAAGGAGCAATTAGCTGAATGTGGGAGGTTGAAAATAGCTGCCCCAGATGGTCTTTAGAGGGAGGAAGGGAGCTTTGTGTCTGGACTATAGGAGAGAGAGTGACTAGAAATGAGTGAAGTGAAGGTTCCCTCAGGCTGAAGTATGGAGAATGGATAGATCTACTCTCTCTCCCTCTCCTACCCTTTCTCCCTCTCATACCTGTCTTACCTTTCCTGGGCCACAGACAGGTGACAGACAGATCTGTGGGTGCCAGTTGGGCTTTACTAGAAGCATTGCAGTCTGGGTGTGGAGAAGCTGTGCTCCTGCCAACTCACCCTCACTCACACTCACACTCATACTCACACTCATTGACACTTCAGGCCCTGCCCAGGCTGGGTCAGGTCTGGTGCAGAGGAGCTGGAGGTCTGGTTCTCTCTTCTGGTTCTTGGTTCCCCAGGGTGACAGTGATTCACATTCCTTCACTTAGACACAGGATTTTCTCTGGAGCTCTCATGGGCTAACTTCTGTGGCATTTGTCCTGGGGGAGGAAGGGGAGGCAAGGTCATGGACTGGAGTCTTGAGCAGGGACTCAGAGGGAAGAGGCAGGGTGGGCTTGACTTTGTAGATTTCTTCTGCAGTCTCCGGATGATGTGGTCCCCCCAGGGCTGGTCTGGGGGTTTGCAGAGCTGGTGATCCCTCAGCATGGTGAACCTGGAGTCAGAGATCAGAGGTCAGAGAGAATAGAATAGCTCTGGAACTCAGCTTCCTGGAAGGCCTGGGTGTTTAGGGTAGAGACTGAATACTACATCTAGGAACCTATTTTGGGGGCTTCCTTGTGGGAAGGGGCTCAGTAAGGAGAAGGGAAGTAAGATGGTGAACATATGCCCCAGTGATAAGAGAGGTGATTAGGAGAGGAGGAGATAGGAACAAAAGGCACCAAAAATGTTCTCAGGAATCGGGTGTTGGTTTACCAGGAGATAGCATCACTCAGAACTGGGGGTGGGTGGGTGTTAGGGCTTGAGGGACTGTAAGGTGGGAAGCTCACAGCCCTGACTAAATTCAGGAAACCTATGTCCAGTGCCACAGGTTTAGTGTTCCTCTCTCCCCAACCCATGTGCACTGTCCTCTCTTTTTCTGGAAACCGGCTAGAGGAAACAGCTTCTAGTGAGAAGGATAGCCAGAGGCCCCTGGACCTGTCCAGGCACTGACACATATAAGAACACCTGGGTTATAGGCACATCTCCATCACATAGGTACACACACAGGACACAGACATACCCACACCACACAAGCCCATGTATAGATTGTATAGGAATACACACAATGCACAGGTGTACCCACAGCACAGAGACACAGTCACAAGGGCACACCCATTTGATACATATATACTCTCAAGTTTATGGACACACTTGGACCTGGGTATTGACTTGAACTCACAGTTCCCTTCACAGACTCCCAGATCCCTGCTGTGCCCCTCCTCTTACCATTTTACCCTCTATCCTTTCCAGGAGAGTCCAAGAAATCAATATGCTGAAGAGAGGAGTGGTGCTGTGCAGGAGGCCATGGAGGATGGACAAGATGGACACATGTGCTGAATCTTTGGAAACAGCTAGTGTATGGATTACAGGAGTCTATCTGCTTGTGTGGAGCCTGTGTGAGACTGTGAGGCTGGAAGGGGGAAAGCGAGCAGAAGAGTAATAGTAAGGATAAGGGAGTCCATGTTGGTCCTGTGAGTGAGTGTGTGTGAGCCTGTGTGAGGCCGTAGCTGTCACCTGTATATGGCACCCTGAAGCTTTCATTCTTTTTTATTTATTTATTTTTTTATCCTCACCCGAGGACATTTTTCCATTTTTTTGTTCAGGTTGAGTGGGAGGGAGAGAGAGGAAGAGAGAGAGAGAAACATCGATGTGAAAAGGATACATCGAGTGGCTGCCACCCACACAACCAACCAGAGCCGGGGAAAAACTGCAACCGAGGTACATGCCCTTAGCGGGAACTGAACCCGGGTCTCTCTGGACCACAGGCCAACGCTCTAACCACTGAACCAAACCGGCCAGGGCCTTTCATTCTTTTAAAAAAATATATATATTTTTTTGATTTTTTAGATAGAGAGGAAGGGAGAGGGGAAAGAGAGACAGAAACATCCATGAGAGAGAACCATCTATTGGCTGCCTCCTGTGTGCCCCCAACTTGGGATCGAGCCTGCAACCTGGGCATGTGCCCTGATTCGGAATCGAACCAGCGACCTCTTGGTGCATGCGTCAATGCTCAACCACTGAGTCACACTGGCTGGGCAATGCTTTCATTCTTTATGTCCAGAAATTTCTTCCCTTCTGTTATATAATAAAGAATTTCACTGGCCTTTGTTTCTGGTTTCTGAGAGGGAGACTCTAAATCTTTGGAATTTCCCAAGTAATAGGAGTGTCTTTGTTATTTATAAGTCCCTTGGATTACAACTGAGTTTATGCTAAGAGATGAGATGATTTAGGATAGGGGCTGGTCACCAGAAAGACCAACTATATTCTTGGAGAGTTGTGGCTTTGAGCCAGTCCAGCCTCCAAGGAAGGGGGCTGGAGATTAATTTGTCATGTGGCCAACAATTCAATGATACCTATGTAATGAAATCTCAATAAAATCTCTAGACACTAAAGCTCATGGAACTTCCTGTTTGGTGAACACATCAATGTGCTGAGAGAGTGATGTGCTCTGCATATCTCCAAGGGGAGAGAACATTTGAGATCCTCCCACAGTTTGCCCTGTGTGTCTTTTCATTTGGCTCTTCTTGATTTATATCCTTTATAAAAGATGACCCGGCTGGTGTGGCTCAGTGGTTGAGCATCGACCCATGCACCAAGAGGTTGCCGGTTCGATTCCTGTTCAGGGCACATGCCCGGGTTGTGAGCCCGATCTCCAGTGGGGGGCCAATTGATGTTTTCTCTCATCGATGTTTCTATCTCTCTCTCAAATCAGTAAAGAAAAAAACATTTAAAAGAATTGTAAGTACAGCACTCCTGAGTTTTGTGAGTCAGTCTGGTGAATTACTGAATCTGAGAGAGATTGTAGGAACCCTGTGAACTTCTAGCCAGAAATGCAGGTGGTAGCCTACAAATGCCACTTGTGGCTGGCATATCAAGTGGGTGCAGGCATGTTGAGGATCATGTTCTTTCTTTTTTTTTTTAAATTATTTTTATTGATTTTAGAGAGAGAGGAAGAGAGAAACTGATCAGCTGCCTTCTGCATGCCCCCTATTGGGCACTGAGCCTGCAACCCAGGCATGTGACCACCAGGAATTGAACCTGCAACCTTTTGGTGCATGGGATGATGCTCAACCAACCGAGCCACACCGGCCAAGGTGAGGACTATTTTTAAACCTGTAGTGTCTGACACTAACTGCATGATTAGTGTCTGAATTAAATTGCAGTACATGAGATGGTAGCACAATACCTTTCTGTTGGATAATTTTCCCAGTGTCTTCTATCTGAAAGAACTTTTTTTTTTTTTCTTTTCATAACTCCCAATCCCCATTTCCCATTCTTTGTCTTTAGCTCTGATAATCTTAGCAGTCAGCAGTTTGGACAGGGAAGGGTTGGGGGGTTGCCCTGTTACCCTTAGGGGAAGGTTTATAGTGTCTCCTTGGAGGCATTTGAACCATCACTATCAAGGATAGGGGTCAGGGCTTGGTTCAGGATTAGAGGTCAGAGTAAGGAGTACCTCCCCCATTTCCAGGTTTCTCCTCACCCCCAATTCTTTTCTGTGGTACTAAGATGCCTAGGAGTGGGAGGAGTGGGAAAGATGGTTCCCCAGATTTCCTGAGGACAATCACAGATAGA